AGTGTCGTCATGAAAAGCCACTGTGGCTACCACTCCTGTGAGTGTTGCCACTCCTGTATGACTTGCTGTGGCGGTTGGTGCCGTCACTTGATGTTGCTGTATTCGAAACTGGGAAGTTCCGATCACTTGTTGAACCGTGGACTGGGAAGTTCCGGTCACTTGGTATTGCTGTAGCTGGAAACTAGGAAGTTCCGGCTGCATTCGCGTAGACTCAGACTGTGCTCTTGACTGGCGTGTAGACTGAACTGGACATTGATATGCCATGGTCTCAATCGCCAATGATGTGTGGAAACATCAATCCATTCAGGCTTGATACTGGATTTGGAAATCAGGTGAGCATGAGTCTGTGCAATAGCTTGGTAGCTATCTGGAGTCAGCTTGTTGTCCATTGGGATGGAACGTGAGCTGTCTCTTCTTGTTGGATGTCCAAGAAGTGTTGGATGTCCTGCTGTTGTCTTTTCCAGAGGAATGGAATCCTCTTCTTCCCAGTTGGGGAAGCTTCTTCCTTCATCACGGCCTCCTCTTCTTTGGAATCGAATGGCTGTGACTTGTTGTACATGAATGTGTGCTTGCTTGATGTGGACCTTGGTTTGCACCTCTTGTAGATGGGTGCTGGCAACTTGTGGCGTTCCGTCGAACTGTTGCTTGCTTTGAGCTGGTTCCATGGTGGAACTGTTCCTGTGGAACTGTGGGAATCCTCTGCAGAAGATATCCCGGTAGCACTGGTGTGTGGCTACCCTTGCTTGAGTAAGCTTGCTCTGCCTTGATAGGCTTTGCCTCGGTAGGCTTTGCTTGGTCGCACTTGCAATCTCATGATGGATCTTCTGAGTCGATCCCGAGAGTCAAACTGAATCGATCTCGTGGTCGCTGCTTGTGATTCGATCGCTTCGTGTCATTCGATCTGGCATGATCGTTTCTTGTCAGTCGATCTGGTGTGTCAATCTGGATAGATCGATCGGAGAATTCAAAGGAAGGTTGAAAAAGGTTTGAGACTTTGGTTTTGGTGGGTACAACTTTATCAATACCACTCCTGCTGTCACTGTTGGCACACTCCTGTGAGCTAGCTGTGGCAGGACTTGTACTTGTTGTAACCAAAGCTGGCTTGGTTGGTTTGGACATTGGATGCAACTTGGATTGCTGTGGAGCTTGAGGCGGTGCCTCTAGGATTCCTGAGAATCGATAGTACTCAAAGTGTCTATCAGTGCTTAGGTAAGCAGGCTCCTACCTTGGAAAGGCTTTGTAATCCAAGTCTCATGTCGTCGTGCCGACTGGCTTGCAATGAGTCCAAAACAAACCTTGGAAGTGGTTGCTCGGCATCCCGCTTGGTAACGAGAAGCTGAGCGGGTGTAGACGAGACAATACGGACATCGTCATCATCAGAAAAGTCTTTGTGGCTGGCACTCCTGCTGGGAGTGGTGCCACTCCTGGAAGACTGGTGTCGGATGATACCGTCACTTGGTGTACCTGCGGCTCGGACTGGGAAGTTCGGCTGCATTGACACTTGATGGGGCTGGAAGCCCGTCGTAGATGGAAGCTGGTTGAAGCTTCTGGAAGTCGTAGACTTGTGGGAAGTGATGCCCTATTGGAAGGTGCATGGAGGTTTGAAATGATGTAGCTTGGAAGTCACGGACGTGTTGGGTTCGACTGAACCTAGTTCTTGGATGGTCTCGATGTCTGAAGATGGAATGAGGAAATGGTTGAGTTATTGTTTCCTCTTTTCATGGGTGTTTATACTCATGTGAGACTCGTGACTGCTGGTGTCGTCACTTGTGGTGACTGGTGCCGTCACTTGGTACACTTGGTACCGTCATTTGGTGTTGCCGTAGCTGAGACTGGGAAGTCAGGCTATAGCGACACTTGGGAGAACTGTTGTAGTAGCCGGAACTAGGAGGAAGTTCCTTGCCACAATGATGCTTGGAGTTGGGGCTGGAAGCCCTTGGAAGTTTGGAAACTTGTAAGGAAGTATTCCGTGGTAGTTGTGGATGCTCCAACTTGATGGGCTCCACTGGACCTGGACGTGTCACGGTCGATGATGGTTCGATGGTGATGTAGTCGGTAGATCCCTTGGTTGGTGATGTCACTGCTCTTACACTCCTGTGAGTTGGCTGTGGCAGGACAAGTGTTGGTTCTGTCACTGCTCTTACACTCCTGTGAGTTGGCTGTGGCAGGACTTGTAGTTGTCCGTAGTTGTATCTATTGTAGGCTTTGTTTTGATGTACTTACGTACTTCTGTTGTTGGTGTGAGACTAAGGTTGGTTGCAATCTCTGTACAGTAGTTGCAGTGGAGCTGAGGTGTGCACCCTCTTGTTGTTTCTATTGATCAGGTTCCCGCTTGTGGGTCAAACTCTGTCTGCTCCAGCCATCCTGTGGCTTGGTTCCTTGTCTTGTGAACTCTTGAGTTGCTTGTAGCTAGCTACTCGGTTCAACGTTCACTGTCGTTCTGCTGTTGTTGCAGTTGCCGTTATTGTAGATGCAATTCGAATTTGGTTTGGTCGATTCATTGTAATCGGTTTGGTAGTGGTAGATACCGTTGTTGGCTGTTGTTGCCATCGATGCTGGCTGGTTGTAGCCATTGATGGTTGTTGGCCGTGTAGTTGTGAATACCGTTGTTGGCTGTTGTTGTAGCCATTGATGGTTACGGCATTGCCTATAAAGGCTGATGTTATGATGATTTTGTTTGTAGGAATGTAGGTTTTGGATTTTGGGTACCACCACACTCCTGTGCACTTGCTGTGATCAAATAGCAAGGGCATGGACTTGTAATGGTATTGTTGTTACCTGCCTGGAGGCTGTTGTTGCCTCAGGTTTGCCTGTAATCAGTGGAGGAAGTGCTGTGGATTAGTTGCACAATACACATTCCATAAAAGGTAGTAGGAGGTGCTGTGGCTGGGATGCCACAATACACACTCCATGAAAGGGTAGGAGGTGCTGAGTGTAAACTCAATACACACTCCAAAGAAAATATTCAATGCTGGAGGTTGCACACTCCTGTGCTTCCTCTAGCAACAGCTTGCACTGTATGCTCTGGTAGCTAGTGTGCCGATAGCTAGCTAGCTATCGGCATGACATGCTGCTTCTGTAACTGTGCTGACCGGCAGCTGCTTGGATTCGCCATGCAAATCCTCTTGTTGCCGACGTATGGAGAGCTGGCTCCGTGCACTCCTGGAAGGATACTTTTCGCAAAAAGATACCTTTTTCCTGGCTGGGACGTTCAGTGGCTTTGCTTCTTGTAGTGCTCGCTGAACTGGGGCTGTTCTTTGTCGTTCCGTGGAACTGATGACAGCAGTCAGCGATTTCCTCACAAAAAGCAAGGATTGCCTTTTTCTTGGTGTCGGTGGACACAATGGCGCTGTTGTTGCTATCGGTATCATCGGCCGATGGCTGTAACAGTAGAGCGTGTTGGTTGTCCATAGTTGCGTTAGTGACAACCTGTTGTTGTCGCCGTGCTGGTAGTGGTAGCGTTCGTAGATCGCAAATTCGTTGCTCTTGGCTGGCAGAACTTGCAAATTCCACGGTCTGCCGATGGTTGAAATGGCACTGTTGCCGCTATCGGCACCGACTGAGTAGTAGTAGTCGGCCGTCGTATTCTTCTTGACAGTAGTAGCGATCGTTCGATCGCTTCGGTCGTCTCAAAATTCGCAAATTCCGCTATCGCAATGGCGCTGTCGTCGTTGGATGAATCTTTCTTCCCTCGGCTCTTCGAGTGCTTGCACTCTTCAGGGCCTGTTGCGCTAGTGTTCAAAGCACAATTTGCTGTATGACAGTCCTGCTGTAGGACCTGTCGTTGCCGTGTAATCGGCCTGGCAAATCGCCTTGTTTGTGCGACGGGAAAATCTTCGCACCTCTTTTCTATCAGAGCTGTTTCGTTAGCTTGATAGTGAGGTTGTAGGAACTCCCACGGAAGTACCTCTGTGGTATTTTCCTGTTGGGACTTGTTATCTCGTTTGTTCCTCTTCCGTGGTACCACCTCTTGTGTTACTCCTGTTGGCTTGCACGGTTTGTCGCCGTAGTAGCCTTGCTGCGCTCTGTACAGTAGCCTCTGCTCCGTACCGCAGCTTTGGCTCTGGTTCGTCTCACTGGAAGCCTTCTTAGTTTTCTTGCACTCGTAGTGGTATAGCTAGCTAGATAGCTTGGCGGCCACTCGCTCACTGTAGTTGTTTTTCGTAACGACGCGGTGGCAGCAGTCGTTGTACGATGGCTGATTTCACAGCGCAAAGTCTTCGTTCGCTCCTGTGAGCTTCGTTCTTGCTCTGTTTGTACCACCGTACAGTAGCCTCTGTTGACTCTATCAGCCTTAACTCACTCAATTCCTGTTGGATTGACCTCGTTCAAGCATAGAATTGGTGTAGTTAGTAAAGCTCTTTCACGTGGTATGCCTCGATCTAGCTGATACCAGTTTGTCACCGTAACAGTGGATCGTCTGTGCAATCAGTTCGCGATGAAGGATTTCTTGGTTTCCTGCAAGGCTGTTTGGATAGCCTTTATAGTGGGGCTCCAGCACTATCTGTCAGCACCGGACTGGTTACCTTATAGCATAGACTGAATGGTTGATTTCGATGTCGATATCACCATAGTCGAGATCTCGAATTCGAGATGAACTTCGAGAGATGAACACTTCTTGGAAATAGTGTTGGTTTCTAGTAACACTCTAGCTTAGTAAAGGTAAAATACTGTTTTACTGTTAAGCTATTTCCAAGAAGTGATCTTTCTCCATGTTTTCTGGGATTGATTCAACTTCAAAGGATATAGTGAAGGGGGTGACCATATAGATCAGTTAAACTCCCCATGTATGTAACTAGAGAATAGATATAGATATCCCCTATCAACTAGATTGGGATAAACGACTAATTTGTATTGAGGTGTCTGTAATACAACCTCCAACAGCGAGCAAACTGAGGAAACAGGAGACCAACGCTGAAAAAAAGCCGAATCCAAGTGAGTCCTGTCGCGCACTGAGTGGGACTTGGAAAGGATTAGAGATAGAGATATCATTTATAGTAATATTCATTCATGAAGATAATTATATAATCGAGAAGAGCGAGTTTCAAATCCGATGCATTGGGAGGAAAGGCGGGCGCACCTCTGTAAATCGGCGAGAGATCGGCAGGTGCTCGGCTTTTTGTTTTCCTCTTTCAGCCATTCAACACCAACAGTTACCGTCATCTGCGCGTGCTTTCGTTTCTCTCTCCTCCAGCATCATCGGCTCTTTCTCTTCATCAGACCAACAAGTCAAGCCCTTGGTCTCCTTCGTTGTTTGTTGTCATACCGTATACAATAATTGCACTAATAATAGACCATGGGAGACGACTTTGATTACGAGGAACTGAATCAGAGCTACGTGTGTGCATCATGGGCGCCTGGTGTCGGTTTCGCTGGAATCACAGCCGCGGTGGTCTTTGCTAGTGAGTAGTCGAAATTGTTTTCGTGATGGACTGACCATGCTGCAATGCGTCAATTGGTTTCACCACCATGACGACATTGCCGCGCCTTGTTTCTTTTGTTTCCTTTCCTTTACACCAACTATAACTTACAATGACGATTCATCTCTTTGTCTCTCTCTTTGCATCTTGGTCTGAACGAAATTGCGCTTCCTTTCGTGCACCATCGCCCAATTTCCAACTCCACCAAAACACACACCTCACCTCCAATAACTACACTGTAGACCTCGGCGGCGCCTACGGTACCGCAAAAGCTGGACTCGGCATTATGGCAATGGGAATAAGATCTCCAGAGCTATTAATGAAGAACATCATTCCAGTGGTCATGGCTGGAGTACTGGGGATTTACGGACTCATTGTCGCCGTCATTCTGAATGGAAAGTTCACTGTACCGGATGGAGCAACACGAGCAACAACTTACTCCCAATATAACGCCTTTAGTCATCTCGCAGCTGGTCTTTGTGTTGGACTATGCTCGCTAGCCTCGGGTCTAGCAATCGGAATCTCTGCAGATGCAGGAACTCGCGCCGTTGGGGCACAATCAGCAATGGCAGCGTCATGGAAGAAGATGGGATTCACTGGAGATGCTGGAGGTCAAGTCGACAGCCAAGGTGACGCCCTGTTTGTTGGAACCATCCTGATCCAAGTCTTTGCATCAAACTTGGGTCTATACGGACTCATTGCTGCGCTCATCCTATCACAGCAAGATTACCAATGCGAAGTCAATGGTGGTGGAGGAAACTAACTAGCTACTTGAACAACGCTGGGAGCAAGACAGCTAGAGTACCATACCACTACAACAGCATTGCGTGTCTTGGACAGCTGCACGCAACTCTAAATTACACAACCAACGAAGGATCCTACGGCAGAGGATCACAACCACCTTTTGCACCATACCTCGTCGCTGTCATTGCCAGCGCGGCTTCGACTACACACAAACGCGCGCATATCTATCTATGACACTTGTAGAATGAATAAACATAAACTCGTATGGAAAAATCTGTTTGTAGGTGTCGTTTGTTTACTCATGCAAGTGCAGGATTTTAGCGGCTACAGTAGCCAACTCTTACATTACTACTACTTTACAGCGTCAATAGCCTTTGGGTACTTCACCAATTCAAGATCTATTTATTCGTTCTCGAGATCAAACTTTTTGAGCCTCTTCCGTAGCTCAATGATGGGTTTACGTGCCGAGATGGAATCGGCGAAACCTTTGTTGTGGTAATGCAGTGACGGGTAATACCGGTGCTGCCTCAGAAGGTCGGTGCGGGTCACCATGCCTAACGTACAAGTTGACGTTGCAGAGAGAAAGCAGGCAGGACAAAGTAAGAAACACATCAACCGTGGAGCCAAGAGCAAGCTTTTCCAGTCGCAATTACAGACATACCTATCAGAATCTTGCTGCCCTCTGCCACAACAGGGATACAGCCGACATCACTCTCCAGCAGAATGGCTTCTAGCTCTGCCATTGTAGTACAGTCCTCCACTATCCTGACATGCTGCTTCATCCAACCCTTGACCGTGCTACCAGCCCTTCTTTGCTTTTCCTTGGCCTCGTTCTGTTCATAGGGAATCTCTATACCCTTCTCGGCTGCCTCCTTTTCTCGGCGAAGACGCTTTTGCTCCTTGTTCCACAATCGTTGCTTCGCAGCTGCTACTTCCTTGTACGTCACCAGACCAATCACTTCGTTGTCATCGTCCACCACAGGAAGCGCCCTGACGTCATATCGAGTGAACAGGTCCTCTACTTGTTGCTCGTTCATGTGTGGCTTGACCGACAGAACAGGTGCCGTCATAAAGTCTCCGACTGTGACTTGCTCTTGCAAGCTGGTTTCAATAATCTCATCTACCAAACCTTGCAGAATGCCCTCCGCCTCAGATTCGTCATTCAGACGCACCGTGGCGGACGCCGCTTTGGCATGACCACCTCCTCCAAATCGCTCCAACAGTCTATTGAGTTTGACGCCCTTCATGTTGACGCCAGCTTTGACCCTGCCAATAATGATCATGGTAGATGGTTTAGATCCTTGAATATTTCCTTCTTCTTGCAGCTTCTTTTCAGCGTCAATCGCAAAATTGACAAACTCTTCAAAGTCGACTTTTCCATCCTTGTTTTTGTCGACTGCATCCATGAGTTCCTGAACGGCTTCTGGAGAAGCAATAATACCGGAAGCAGCCAGCGTGGCTGCGATTTCGTCCAGCTCCAGAAAGCCCGAGGAATCCAAGTCACTGCGATCAAAAGCAGATTGCAACCGCCGCCGTCTCATGGCTTCTTCTCCTCCCCGCCATGCTTCTGCAAACATCATGGATGCCTGCGCCATTTCTTCGGCTGTATAGTTCTGCATCGGGTCGGGAGAGGCATTGAACTTGACAATGCGGCCTCTCCCTTCATCGTTTTGTGGTGAATTATTGGGGCGATAGGTCGGCAAGTGTTCTTCAATTCTGGAAAGAAGCCGTGCCGTCAGGCGTTCTCCCTGGTTCTTCTTGTTGTTTTTGGACCGTCGTTTGCCTCCGGATTGGGCTTCGTAGACGACTGCCAACAGAAACAAGTCACTGCTACTCAACTCCAAGGCATCCTGTGTCACTGCCGCCAGCCCATTGATGAATCCATCGGCCGACAGCAAGACAGTGGACAATGTGACCCCGTGCACGACGGTCGAATTCGTATTGATGAGAGCCTGTGTGAGTACTCCCTGTTGCTCTGGAGACAGAGACGATTGTGCATGTTCGGCAATCGCTGCTTGACTGGCTCCCTGTGACATGACCCACGCCAACGACAAGGCATCCCGAGGTGTCGTCGAATCAAAGCACAACGACCCTGTATCGGCGTGAATGCCGAGTGCCAAGAGCGTAGCTTCTGCTTCGGTCAAATCCAGTTCGGCTTGTTGCAATCGTTCTACAATCAATGTGGATACCGACCCCACCTGATCCACCACATAATCGGAGGCTTCCGGGATATCCGTATCGGAATCAATATGATGATCCACCACTGTCACGCGGTTGGCGTACTGCAGTAGATTTTCAGCAGGACCAATGCGATCCCTCCGTTGTGCATCCACAAGTCCCAATCGATTCAAGCCCGTCAAATCATCGGGCAACGATCGGAGCGACCGTATGGGAAATAAGTGTTTGTGCAATGCCAAAAATCGCTGAACGCCGGGATGTGCTCCCCGCGGCAATACGACAAACGTCGGCACATGGGATGCCGAATCAAAATCTTTTTGTTGATCATCGACTTGAGATGGCAGTGCGGACGATGCCCATAGCTTGGCCAATCCCACGGCACTGGCCAAAGAATCAAAATCGGCCGTGCAATGGGTGAGGACCACGTTGAATCCCGATTTTGGTACGACTTTGGCGGGTTGTTCTTTGAGGATTTCTTTGGAGGTTCGCTTGAAAAAGATGGGCGGCTTTTTCACTTTGGTAATGGGTTCTTCCACAACCACGGCTACTTCTTCTTGTTGTTGTGGAGTCTTGGCATTGTGATGAGTTGTCGTGGTTGTGGTTTCTTCCGCATCTGCTGTGGCTGATGATGTCTCTACGTCCGTGTTTTCTTTGTCATGGTTTGGTTTTGCCGAGTTGAGGCTGTCCTCTGTCTGTCCAATATTCATCTGTGACTCTTGCTTGGCGTTGACATTGTCGTCTATTTGGTTTCCATCCGACTTGTCGTCGTCGTCGGGAGACTCTTCCGTCGAAGCTTCCGAGACTGATGTCTCTTGCATTTCAACAGTTTTCCCCAATCCATTCGTTTCCTTGTCGTCGTCGTCACTCTTCGGATCATTGCTATTGTTTTCATCATCGAGCTGCAGAATGGGTGCCCGTTTGGCATGAACTCGTCCCTCCTCGTCCGTGGAAAGACGAATTCCATTGTCTTCCAAGAACCTCGCTGGATACGTTTTGAGAGGTGGCTTTTCTTCGGTACTCTCCTTCTCTTCTTCTGTTTTCTCCTCGTTTTTTGTGTCGACTGTGGATTCCTTGGCAACGGCTGCTTTTACCTTGGAACGTCGTTTGGAGGGTCTCCGTTTGGACGCGTACAATAAGGACCTTGTGGTGGTCCTGGAATGAGGGAGTATGCGTGCCGTAAAGGCTGGTTGCCGTGTGGTTTGTCGGAACGGTTGGGATGGCTGTGGGAACCGAAACGCGGTCTTGAGCGGAATGTTCGAATAGACCAACGCCATCCACAAGGTCAAGGACCAGTAGGAGTGTCGTGAGATGATCATGACGATGTTGTTTGATTGATTCTTGCAGTGATAAGCCTACAGAGGGTAGCAATGGTGGCTTGTCTTGTAGATCGAAAATCGAAAATGACTTGAATGACAGTGTATCCTCGCGCAACTTGGGAGCTCCTTTCTCAAAAGATAGCAGCTCTAGCTAGCAGCAAGCTAAGGACAAGTAATATAAGTGAAGAAGTGGAACGAGTGAAAGTACAGTATCTGCTTGTGGCTATTTACTCAGTTGGGAGGACAGCTGCATGGGATCATAAGGTTGTCAAGCCACAGCAATGGCCCGCCCTTCATGTGTGCTGTCTGACGTTGGTTGGCCTTTTTCGCTCTCCTTCGGATTGGATTTTGGAAGAAGAAGCCTTGGCGGGAGTAGCTGAAACATGCTTCGGTCACGGACTGACTCAGTGCTCGCAACCAAAAACAAAAACGAGGATCGAGCCCTTTTAAAAAACACGGACACTCATACTTGGTTTGACATTATGGGCATCTATCCATCTCCTGTCGTATTCGCTCTCCTACTGGTGCTGCCGCTGGTATCATGTTTTAGTCAATATCCAGGAAGTATCCGAGATACAAGGGCTCTTTCGGCCGTCATCAGATCGAAGAATACTGCCATCAGCAGGAAAGATTCTTGTAAACGATTGTTGGTGGCGTCATCTAATAGCAACCACCGCAATCACCAACCATACACAAACAACAATCACCACCATGTCGTCGCCTCCATCCTTTTGCCCATTGCTATTTTTTGGGCAACCTCCCTACCTGCTGCTGCTACTGCCGACAGTGCGTTGTCTACCAATGACTACACCGACCCACTACATCCCCAATGCCAACGACACATTGAAGTCAATGCCGATGGCGAAACCTTGCGCTACTCTGGCACTACCGTAGTAGGCGATGGAAGAGGATGCAGTCCCAAAGAAGCAAAAGCCGTTGGTGGCATTCGGCGATTCGTCTACGAGGGAACGCTCGATGGCAACAACAACAAGATGATAGTATCGCTGGGGGATGGCAGTCATACACAAGGTGTCTGGGAATCCGATGGGATCCGATGGCAAGATGGTAGCAAATGGATGGTTCAAGAAAAGACTTTGGCTGTGAAAGCAGGGGAAGTCATTACCTTTTCCTACATTGGATTCAGTCTCTTGGCGGGAGTCAAGGGTGTCTACAACGTGGCTCAAAAGAAAAAGGAAGAGTCAGCTTTGAAGTAGCTATTGGCTAGATAGTCATTCATTCATTCATTCATTAAGCATAGCATAGACAAGATGTTTTGAAACGCAATCACTGGAGTGTACTTTCGAAGATTCTATTCAAGGGCACAAAACTGATGTGGTGCTAATTTGCGCCAGCTTTTGAGCATTTCTTTGTGTCCTTCGGCCCGCCAGAGTCAGCCTTCGTACATCTGGCTAGCTCGAGGAGGCAACACGTCTTGGGTTACATGTACATGGTCATGTACAACGCACTTCCGTTGCCATTACTGGTGAGGGACAATCTTTGCACACTTCAGCCTGTTCCAAAAGACCTACATGTATTTTAGCTGTTGCTATCAGTTACGAATTACTGGCTCAGTTTTCCAACCACCATCAAAACTTCTCAACCACAGGCTAACAACCAACTCTAACCAACTCCATCACCATTTGGTTCCTCCGTCCGTTTTCATTTATTTAAAACTCAAAGAGTGATTCCCTCCTCGGGTTCAAACTTGGATCCAAGTTCGGAAAGAGCCTTGTGTGCTTTCTTGTAGCTCTCAAAGAAATCATCCTGGCTGTCACGGAATTTCTCGGCAAACGGCTTGAAACCTTCATCGGTAAAGACAACCTTGTCGGAAGTAAGCTTGAGAAGCTCGGGATCGGCACCTTCGTCGGGCATGGTTGTGAAATACGAATTGTCGAAAATGAGCCATTTTTCGGTCCAAGAAGATCCACCGGGAGTGTAGCTGGCTTCCTTTCCATCGGCACGCATCTGCTTGGATCCATCGGTGAATTTGGTCTTTTCCGCACCCAATCCAGATCGGTCCTTGTACGCGCGGCCTAACAAAAACAAGGGCAAGAATAAACATATAGAATATGTCGACATTAGAAAAAGAAGAAAGCCATGGGAAAAATAAATGACAAATAACAAATCACACCAGCAACGTACCGAACGTGTGGGCACCCGAAAGAGCGACAATGGCTTCATCATCGAGCCCCATACGGTAGAAAACCTTGCGCAAATGTCCTTCACCGGTCTTGTCTTCGGTAGACTTTGTGCCTCCAGCTCCTCCGAATTTTCCCTCGGGGCCAGCTTCGGCGTCGGGCAAGTTTCCTTCCTTGGGGCATTCGTCGGGACTCGAGGTATCGAGACGTCCATATTTCATGTCAATCGTGGGACCTCCTGCCAATTCAATGGCACGGGCCGATGCCATTTGGTAGATATCGGCATAACTGACGGCGGGAAAGGCCTCCTTGACAGGTTCCAAGAGCTTTACAGCGCCGCTCAAACCAGCGTTGGCACCGTGCTCAAGTTCCGCGGAGAATCGGATGGATCCATCAGCACCTCCAGCTGCTGGCCATGGATCCTTGATAGAGGCATCGTGTGGACCTGATCAAGGTAGAAATCGTATAATGTGTTAGTGAATACATCTAGCATACAATCATTGCTTCGCCGATAACTCTAAAATACCCTACGTACCAGAGTCATGCCATGCAAGGCGGACAAAGAAAGGGCCACAGTTCTTCTCGTCAAGAATCTTGTCGATAGAGTCCCTAGCTCCAAGGAGATCTTTCTTAGTTACAACCATTTCTTCAGTTTTAGTTGCAGCGCTGTGCAATTGTGTTGGTGTGCGGCGGGATGTGTGAAGAAGTGGGGAGAAGGCCTCCGAAAAACTGGCGGCGGACAGCAACCAAAAAATAGAAGATCGCAAAGATACCCTCATTGTGACGATGATGACACAGGCTTTCAGCAGGATGTGACAGATTGCAATAATAGAACCAGTGAATAACCGTAACACCGTAACCTCCAATGAGCTCACAACTTCTCGATTTGGGACAGAACAAAACGCGTACAGTAGCAAACGTACCGAAGCAATCCGTAAAGCAATCAGGGGACAGGTGAGGAGCGCTGGATGGATTGTGGGAACTCGAGTGTCAAACGGATTTCAAATAAATGAACTTTCTCACCTCGGAGTCACTGACGTATGCGTCCACACCATCTTGTTTGATTGCCTCTCGGAATGATAAATCCGCACACACACGCATTTAGAAGATGAGGCCGAATCTTAATTCCGCTGCGAGCCTGAAAGGGTAGCATGCGAATCCCTTTAAATCCTATCAGTATGACGTGGTGTCGCAAATGATGCGGTGGTACGAAGCGTGTGCTGGGAAATGATGCGGTCACCGGTACCAGTATGTGCCAACGCAATGCTTCAAAGTTCAAAGAGTTCCCAAGTTCCAAGCTCCAAAGGAAAGTTGATGGGCGGGGATAGCAGGGATGCATCAAAGCGTCTGATGGGGTATTGTCTTGTGCCAGAGATGCCCTTCATCCAGCCGATAATACCGGTATCGGTACCGGCGGAGATGCTACTCTAGCTAGTAATGATAACCGGTAGTACGTGGCGCGGTTTTGAGCAAGAGCGATACTGTTAGAGGTATTTCTATCGGGAGACGAGTGACATGCATCATTGGATTGTTCGCTCATGAACTGTTGGCTGCGTGCGATCTTGCTCGCTGCTTGAAGATGATCTGACGAAGCTACAAGTCGTCTTCCATTGCTTGTGAATCGAATCGTACTGTTTAAGGTTTGAAGCCGTCGGCCTACGTAAACGAAATACGATGAGAGTCGGAGCCTACTATTAATAGGCGACAATATGATCCTACTCGTACACCAATGCACTCAAAGAAGACGGAGAAATATTGTCCAAGAAGTAGTCACTTAGCTAAAGCGATTCTATGGATTCAGTTGGCCAGTCAGTCACCTCTCTATCTGACTAGTCGTCCATGTCAGGAGGCTGTGACCATGGCTTCAACTCGAGGTATTTCTCCTCTTCGGCCAGTGATGCCGCCTTCCAGTCGTTTCGGAACAACAACACGGGTCGCTTCCACCGATCCTGTACCACCATGATACCAAATAGTTTGCCATCGGCGTCGGCCTTGTCAACGGCGTCCCAACCGCCATCGACCCACCGTGCCAAAGTGTAACTGAGTGGTTCCATCAAGGAATCTACGTTGTATTCGTTCTTGAGTCGAGCTTGGACTACTTCGAATTGTAGCTGTCCCACGGCCGCGAGCATGAGCGGACCTCCTCCATCATCGTTGCGTTGGCGAAGGGCTTGGATGGCACCTTCGTCCAATAGCTGATCCATTCCTTTGCGGAAAGACTTGTAGTCGGATGGATTCGGAGAGCGAATGTACGCAAACTTTTCGGGTGAGAAAGAGGGGATACCAGGAAAGGCTACCTTGCTATTGCCCGTGTAAAGGGTATCTCCAATGGCAAAGTTTCCGGGATTGTTGATTCCAATGACATCCCCGGGATACGCAAGCTCGACGGTAGTTCGGTCGGATCCAAACAATGCCTGTGCTTGCGCTAGATTGTACTTTTTGGCTGGTTTGGATCGAGAATGTCCAACTTTCATTCCCTTTTCGTACACGCCCGATACTACCCGCACATATGCCAGTCGATCCCGATGTTTCGGATCCAAATTGGCTTGAGTTTTAAAGACAAAGCCCGTAAACTCTTGATGCTCTGGTGCAATCAAAAATTCTCCCTCATCTTCTTGTTTGTCGGCTGCCAATCTACCCATGGGTTTGGTGCCCATGTCACAAAACTTGTCGAGAAAGAGCTGTACCCCAAAGTTGGTCATGGCCGATCCAAAAAAGAGGGGACTTTGAGTGGCCGCCATGACGCGTTCCATGTCGAGTGGTGGGATGAGCTCTTGCAATAATTCCTGATCTTCCAGTAGTTTGTCAAATAATTCCTGGTCGTCAATGAGCGACTTTAGTGTATCTTCATCTTCCATCGGCACTTCTTGTACTTCTGCTTTGCCTCCTCGTTGTGTGGGTTTTGTGTACAAATGAACAATATTGGTGGTTCGGTCCAAGACGCCTTTGAATCGATCTCCATCTCCAATGGGCCATAGAATGGGATGTGTTTCCAATCCAAATTCTGCTTCAATCTGGTCCATGATTTCGTAGGGCGTGAGTGCAGGTCGATCCATTTTGTTGACAAATGTAAAGAGGGGTAGATTGCGAAGACGACACACTTCAAATAGTTTCCTCGTTTGTGGTTCCAGTCCCTTGGCGGCATCGAGAAGCATGACGGCGTTGTCGGCTGTACGTTATCATGCATGGGTGAGTGTGTGAGTGGACAATTGGAAGACATATTATGACATTGACGAAGTGACAGGCAATTACTTACCCGCCGCCAAGGCTCTGTAGGTATCTTCGGAAAAGTCCTGATGCCCAGGTGTGTCTTTGATGGTTAGATAGTTCAGGGAAAGCATGAGGAGGAGCAAAAAAGAAAGGGTATCAGACTGGTGGCTTCATTGGATTCAGTCAAGTATCAATAGTTTTCGTTTTCGTACCGAGTATATTGACTCGTAGTCCATTGTAATCAAAGTTCATGACGGTACTACTGATGGATATTCCACGTTCTTGTTCCATTTCCATAAAATCGGATTGCGTGGCCCGTTGTTCGGCCTTTTGTCGGACAGCTCCCGCTTGTTGCAGTGCTCCTCCGTAGAGAAGCAATTTTTCCGTCATGGTAGTTTTTCCAGAATCTGGATGGGAAATGATGGCAAGATTTCGACGGCGCTCAATTTCGGTAGCGGGTGCCTTGTATGGTTCAGTGGTGGTGGTGGTGGTGGTAGTGGTAGCAAACAAGCGCGTCTCTTCATGATGATGACATTTTGTTGGATGAACCAAGAATGCTTCGGTCAGTACGGATAATAGGGCGCATGCTGCCATGAACGGTCCGAGGTAACCGGAAATCATCATCCTCATCTTGCTTCTTTCAACCTTTGATCCTCAAGGAATGTTTTGTTGACAGAGGTTTTGTGGCGGGCATTTTGGTTGGCAATGGAGATGGATTGTTCTTTGAAAGACGTAAGTCACGAGTTCTGTGTCACGAGTATTGCAATACATGTATTGTGTTGAAGTGGCGGCACTGACGTCAGTTGCCTTTCCACCATCAGTCTTTCGAATTCTTAATTAATTAAAGATGGGGTGATGGGGTATCCAAAGATCCAACAAAGCACATGCCCCACGCTACAGAGGTGTCATCATCTCTTGCGGAAGTGCAACGGACACCATTCCCAAACATGTTCGTCTTTCTTTGGTGATGGACGAGCTCGAAGCACACTGAAACCAATAGAGGAGGTATCACTTGGAAGTGATATCTTGCCATTGCTACCCATAATAAGATAAGACAAACCGAGGTAGCCCGAAAGGATAAGAAGAAAGGGCTTGATACCATTCCATTCAAACAAAAGCCCTCAAGTGCCCGCAAGTGCCTGATATCTTTCAAAAGGCATTCGTCAGGTCCATTATCTTTATTGTAAATCACAATCATGTCCGACAACAACAATGGGAAACTGATTGCCACGGCTATTGGCGCCGCCGTGGCAGGAGCTGCATTGGGTGTAGCGACGGTCAAACTGCTGGATCGACGAAACGGCCAGCCGGATCAAAATGAAGGAGGCATCATTTCCGAGCGACCCAAACGACGATCGTTTATCTACGAAGACCCCATGGGCGCCGATGTCATGGCCAATCGAGATTCCAGTACCACGCTGTTCCCACACAATCACGAAGAAAAAATGAGACGTCGGATTGCCGCACGAGCCGCCGTAGAAGAAGATAACTTGACACCCCGACGATCCGTTACCGTGCGAGTTCCCGCTACTTCGGCCAATGTGGGACCTGGATGTAAGATACTTATCAATATCACCAGCAAAACAAAGAAACAGGGAGAATATTTGGAAATGGGTGGAGTATCCTCAGTTATCTTTCTTCTGTTTGTTTTTCATTTTTCTTCTATGATATTATAGACGACTGCATTGGATTGGCCGTGGATTTGTGGTCCGAAGTCACCATCGAACTCGCCGATAAATTCGAAATTACCGCCGAAGGGGATGGAGCCGATGCCGTGCCCAAAGATGCCTCCAATTTCCTCGTGCTGGGGGTCAAGGCGGCCTACGATACCGCGAGAAAAGAAATGCCCGTCTTAAAATATCACGTCGTATCGAGAATCCCCTTTGCCAGAGGGTTGGGAAGTTCCAGTGCCGCCATTGTGGCGGGTATCATTGCCGGATTGGTCTTGGCAGGACATCGATTGCCGTGCTGGGGATCCGAGGCTCTGTTACAGATTGCCGCCGGTATTGAGGTTCGTATTTTGTATTATTGTTGTTTTTCTGTGTTCACCCAATATGTTTGTTTCTTGTGGTTTGTTGCTAATTTCAATTCTGTATCTCTTGTTTGACCAAACGAACTAAAACAAAAACACGACAGGGACACCCCGATAATGTCGCTCCTGCCATTTACGGTGGTATCCAGGTGGGAATTCACAATGGTACCCGATGGGTCACCGAACGAGTACCCATGCCATCCGGTGTGCAGTTGGTCATGTTCATCCCCGACTTTGTGGGAAAGACATCAGACGCCAGAAATGTCCTTTCCGATACCATCTCCCGAGAGGATGCCGCCTTTAACATTAGTCGCACCGCATTCTTGATCAACGCCCTTTGCATGGGTAACCTTGACAATCTAAAGTGGGGAGTCCAGGACAAAATGCATCAACCACAGCGAGGGTCCAAACTCTACAAGTACCTCTTTCCCATGATTGAAGCGGCCGAATCGGCAGGAGCGTGTTGTGCCTATCTCAGTGGTGCCGGTCCTACCGTCATGGCATTGACCAGTGGAGCCAGTGGGGATATCTTTGCCCAACGAGAAAAAGAACGAACCGATTTGGCCGTCGCCAGGGCCATGAGTCGAGCCGCCGAACAGTTCGGAATCAAAGGGAAATTAGTCGTCACCAATGCTGCCAACGAAGGGGCCCGAGTGGTCAGAGTGGAGCCGCCCTTCAGTTCCGATGTCATTACATACCGAGACAATATCTAGCATATTGACATTTTTTGAAAGTTTTCCAAAAGGTGACTTCTACCCAACAGGGTTCTTGTAGATGATGAGTACGGAGGATGAGTACGGAGACAATCATGACCAAAGAGCAGGTCCTACTGGTGGAGTTACATTTATAGAAGCTATAGATTGGTTGGTACAATGGTCCATTTCAGGGGCACAACGTATCCTCCAGCCAAAGATATTCGTGCAATGTAGTCTCCGAGCTTGCGAATCTCCTTGCTGCATGGTTCTTGGGTATCCATGGATTCCACCGTCTCCAACAGTTTATCTGAAGTGAAGTCATCCCAGATGACAGGATCATCCATTAGATGCACTTCCTCATTCTTATCCAAATCAATCTTGAGCTGCTTGGCAAGCTTGGTTCTGATTGTGTTGGCATCCACCTTTCCAGGTGACACCGCCTGTGTCTCTGGATCCACTCTTCGGTATACTTTAAGCTATTATAAACAATGGTAAAATCGTAACAGAATCAGTCGACAACGACACTCGTCAATGTCGAATATTCCAAATCTATTTCTTACCACTTTGTTTCGCAAGTAGTGCTTTAAAATGTCGGCTGCCTTGAGCTCTTGCACTTTTTCGTCGGACATGGCTTCTCGTGCCAGTCGTCTGGTCTTTTGCTCCTCGGTTTCCAAGTCGGGATCTTGAATGCCCAATCGCTCAAAGTTCTGGGGAATGGCGTAGAGAGCATACTTGCCAGGGATGAGATGATTCCGGGCATATCCAGCCTTGACACGGATCACATCCCCGCGATACGCCTTGCCATTGGGCAGATCTTCTTTCAAAATGATTCGGACGGTGTGGCCCCATCGACATTGTTGTACCAGTGGTCTCATTCGGGATGAGGAGGAAAGGAGATAGGCTGGTAGAGACGACATGGTGGTAGTGGGCGAGTACACAAGAGCGAGAGATGAGGCAACGACGCAACGGTGGCCATTGTGTGGCTCTGAAAAGGGCAGAGGTTTTTGAAGAGCCAAAGATTTGTGGTGGTTGGGGTAAAGTTGAAGGGTTGGGGCTAATTCTAGTAGCTTTTGCTTTTCTCTGTCATTGCTTTCCATCCCTTTCCGAGCCAAGAGGGCACGTAGACGATGGGTAAGAAATCAAAGAAACAGCGTGACAGTCGTGCTCTTCATCATGGTGCAACACAACTCAGATGATGAAGTCGGGTATTTTTCGAAGCGAACAATTGCTGCTTGCAATGCAGCCAACGAAGAAGCCAGATCACAAGAGTTGTCCATCCCAAATCATTTGGAGTGAGAGCCTACTTTGACCATCTGCTATAAGGCAACAGACGAAGAATTTCCTGGTTGTTTGTCGCAGCAAGCAACCAAACCCCCAATCGCAACGCACCATTTTTTGTTCCAGGAGACGTTTGTGATGGCTGCGGTACTGTACTGTGCACATACGGTACTATTGCGCTCGTGAGTGCCAGGCAAAGCACTGGCTTGATCGGCACAACAGCTTGTGCTGTGTGAAGGGCGAATTCCGTGCGGGAGATTATGTGTGCAGACTTTGGAACCCATTGGGCTGGTTCCTTTTGGTGACATCTGCCGCATTGTTGCTTCTGCTGCAAATACTGAGATGGAAGGATCCCTTTGGGTTGTCTCTGACTCTTGAAGGGGAACGGTGCACCATCTCTGCCGACAAACTACCTTTGCACAGCCTGTATGGCTTGACACAATTATTTCGCCTTCACAGCCTTGATGATGATTGAATTCTTGAATGAATCGAATCATTCCTGAAAATGAATTCAATCCATCCTGAAAATGAATGGAAGCCTTTATCTATTAGACCCAATTCTAGAGGAAACACTCGGCGTTTATTTGCATAAGGCTCGCCTATAAGATAAATCTAAGTAAGAAAGTCAATCATAGTGTTGTGTGCTTGCTAGTACCGGTATGGTGGACGCTATTCCGTTGCCACCTGCATACGGCACTCCAATGGTTCCATCTGATATCATTCTGTTTGTGGCTCCTTTACTGCTCATGGTGTGTTTTCTTCTGTTCTCTCATGGACTCAGGCTTCCATTAGTATCATTGTTACTCCCATTCGCCTTGGCAGCTTGTTTCTGCAACTTTCGTAGCCTCTTTTTCTCTTCTGTCTTTTGTCGAATGAGATCTTCGTACTCTTGTCGTTCATTCCAGTTCTCCTTGGCATTGCGTCGGTACTTGACAAAGCCGACCATTCCCAAGAGATTGTTATAGAATCCCATAAAGAAGGATTTGACGGAAAAGAATGTTCCCGAGCTGGTCGTCTTGCTGGCAATTTCCTTGACGGTCACGACAATTTCGTCTTGTCCCACCGGCACGACATCTTTGCAGGGACGGATCCATTTTCCATCGCACATGGCTTCACAGGTACCGCATTCTCCCTTGCCGCAACCGTACTTGATGAATTGTCCCGCTTGCGTCGCCACGTCTCGAAGAGGTTGTCCTGGCATGGCCATGGTAGATTTGGTTTCGTCGCCTTGTTGAAAGACCACATTGATGGTGCCCTTGATACCTTTATCTTTGAAATCCATGCCGTCACCTTCATCCGCCAAAGTTTTCTTCTTTTTCCATTTGGGGACATAGCCACTTTTAGAGGACGGAGGGGGAGTTTCGGTTTCGCTCATCCAGAGTGCCCTCTTGTTGTTGGTGGTGGTAGCTGCTGCTGGGGACTGGAAACCATGGGTGGATGTCACGAAAAGCAGGAGCACCAAGCAGGCCGCCAAAAGTATCGGGTGGAGGGAATAACTCATCGTGGCGAGAGAAACAACAATAGACTATAATATACTCCAACAGGGATAAATAATAATGGAAATCAATTGAATTTATGGGATAACGGAAGAAAAATAACACAAGATACTGCAGGTCCAATCGTCCAAGTTGATCTTTCAAGATACCCTCACTATGGTAGTATCCTTCAGGCAAACAAAAGAATAGAATTCGAGTTTGTTGTGTGCTACAATCCGAATTGGATGGGCTGTTGATGGCTCTTCTATAGAGCTCGATGCGAAGTCTTTTTGGCCGAGGAAAGTTTAACGTCAGGATTGTCAATAGCTTCGGCGAAAGGAACAAGTGGAAGCATTCGCCACTCCGCTTTTGGCAGCTGCTATTGACAAAGAGGATACGCTGCAACAAGACAGCTGTTGGCGCAAGCTAAAGAGAACCTGTTGTGTGTCTGTGGTACAGGGAACCCGGATCCCAAACGTCACAGATCTTTTGAATGAGCCAATCAGCTGCCTCCATCAGAAAGATCGAGAGAAAGTTCAAGTTATGAGCCATCAAAAAAATGGAATCGAATCCAATCTCAATCGACTTTCTTCATTGATGTTTGTTTTCTTGCAACTTTGTTTGAGAGGATCCAACCGCAACAACCGTACAGTAGCAAGTACCACTTCTTCTCTGAGCAAGCAAGGAAGGAGGTACCACCAATCAATCTCTTGTAATAAAAAGTCAGATTATTATTCTCATTATCTCTTTGTCCTCGGATAGAGCGAAGAGAAAGGGTATCATAGCAGAGCAGCAACAAGATGATTCTACGATCGTTACTCGTCATCACGGCACTGGTTGCCCATCAGGCTCTTGCCTTCCAGTTCATGAAAGGATGGAAGGTCCCCAAGAGAGACCGTGCGCAGGAAGCTGCCGTCGAACAGTTTGGAGACAAGAGTAAGTCCAGAATGAATAGAATGGATGGGTAGCAGCCATACTGCTGTACCCCGTACTAGCCAGCAAAATAAGTGATATGTGTCTGTATTCTCACCATCTTTCTTTTTCTTTCCTTTCCAGAGCTTGCCGTGATTACTGGAGCGTCCACCCCACTGGGAGAAAAGACGATCCAAGATCTGTTGGCTTCTGGAGAGTTTCATGTCATTGGTGCCTATGCCAACGCCGACGATGTCCAAAAGGCAGAAAATCGAAAAAACTTGACCCCACTGCTCTGCAATTTGGAATCGTTGGACTCGGTCCGAGACTTTTGTTCCCAAGTGCACGAATTTCGAGGATCCAAGACATTGGATCGATTGGTGTGTCAAGCCGGGATTACATGTGACAGCATCGACCCCGTCTTTACGCTCGATGGACACGAAAAGACGCTCCAAGTCAACTTTTTGTCACAATACCTATTGGCCAGCAAACTCTTGGATGGAATGGTCGACTCGATGGAAGCTCGCATGACGCTCGTGGGGGACGGCAATACAGAAATTGCCGACCTGGCCGATCTCAACGGATTGAGAGCCGGATTCCGAAATCCCATTGCCACTTTGGATGGATCTACCAGTTTTAGTGCCCCCAAGGCGTGTGCCGATTCGGTGCTCTGTCAAAAGCTGTTGGCAAACTTTTTGCACACCAAATATCACAAGCTCACGGGAGTTGTCTTTAACAACCTCAACGGTATCAGCAAGGAAGAACTTGTGACCGAACTAGTCACTGGAGCTGCAGGAGCACAATCCGGTGTCTCCTTGGCGCTGGATGGCAACACTCTGGTGGACGAAGATACGATCAGCAGTGAACAATCCAAGGAAAAAGCCTATGACATTGATGCCGCTTTTCAACTGTTTCAACTTTGCAATGAATTGGTCGATACTGAATGGCCCGCCATTAAGCAGATCACCAGTCCTTGCCCAACCTTGAAGGTCATTGGCGCCATTACCAAGAACAATGTCAAGAAGGAAGAACTCAAGCGAATGAAGCAAGGAAGACCCGGCATTTCGGAACCCGTGGAAGAGCTGGCACAGAGAATAACCAAACGACAGAGGGTATCGGCATTTGCTCAACGTGTGGTTGGTACCATCCTTGGCCAGACTGTGGGACGCGTAGCTCGATTTGCTGGCAAGCGCATGCTGGGACATGTCCCCGACACGGCACTGAAAGGATCCTTTGACGCTACGGCGGGTGGTGATGCAACGGAAATCTTGGACGATGAGGATGTCGAGGAAATTCAGTCACTCATTTCCGAGCAGTTGTCCAAGGAAAAGAAGAAGGATTTTGGCGACAAGAGTGAGTTTGCCTTTCTGTATCCTGATTGCTTCGCTGTGTTTCACAGGTTGAACCAACTGACTTACTCATGCACTTGCTCTCGCATTCGTCCACCGCAGAACTTGTCGTCATGACGGGAACTTCGTCTGGTCTTGGACGCAAGGCAGCTCTTGCATTGCTTCGAACTGGAGATTATCATGTCATTGGCGCCGTCCGAGATTTGGATAAGATGGAAGCAGTAGCCGATGTTGATGGGTTCGACTTGGACAACTTTACACCCATGTACTGCGAGATGAACTCCTTTGACTCTGTTCGTCAGTTCTGCAAGAACGTTGATGAGTTCAGGGGCAGCAAACCAATCGATCGTCTGGTGTGCAACGCCGGTGTTTACCAGCCTACTCTTCCCTATGCAAAATGGAGCAAGGATGGACACGAACAAACCATGCAAATCAACTTTTTGTCTCATTTCCTGATGATCAGTGAACTCATGACATCCATGGAGGGCTCTCCTGAGGCTCGTGTGACCATGGTTGGATCAGTAACAGGTAACGACAACACTGTTGGCGGAGGAGGTGTCTACCCTATTGCAGATCTTCATGAGCTGGATGGATTGAAAGCAGGTTTCAATAAACCAATTGAGATGGCGGATGGATACGGCTTCAACGGGGCAAAGGCCTACAAAGATTCCAAGCTTTGCTTGATGATGTTGGCCAACTTCTTGCACACGAAATACCACAAGACAACTGGAATTGCTTTCAGCAGTATGTACCCAGGATGTATCGCCGAGTCGCCTCTGTTCCGTGAAAAGAGACCCTGGTTCCGAAAATACTTTCCCATCTTCATGAAGTTCATCACCGGTAAGCCACAGAATGCCAAGCCGGCATGTAGATCGCAAGTACACCCCCACCAATCCTGGCTGCTGACCTTCTGTTTTTACTTTCATTGTTGTTCTTCAGGTGGATTCGTTGGAGAGCACGAAGCAGGACAGCGTTTGTTCCAGGTGGTTCATGATCCTCGTTGCGTAAAGTCGGGTGTCTACTGGTCATGGAATGGTGGCCCCCGAGAAGGACGAGGAGCCGAGGCTATTGAGAAGGGAGGACAAATCTCTGGAGGTGGTGGAGCTGGAGGCGGTTGGGATTCCATTTTCGAAAACGACCAGTCAAGCAAGGTGTTGAACATTGATACTGCTTACACCTTGTTTTCCCAAGCAAGCAAGATCACTGGAGCCGACTGGCCTTACGAGCAAAGCCAACATTTGGAGGTGAGCACCAGCAGCACTCCCTTCATTGATGTGGTTCCTGGTAGCACCTTGGAAAGCGCCACCAACAAAAACATGACCGCAGCCCAGTCATGAGGCGACAACTCCATCCCGCTATTTGTCTTTGTTAGGAATAGCTACGACCGCACACGATGAATTCCCACACTCGACACACCACACCAATTAGTTTCTTGCTAACTGCAATTGATTAAGACCACATTTTTTATCTTCACCTGTCTACTACAAAGAGTTCATGTGCTACCGGTGGCCAGCTAGCTAGTCTAGCTAGAGCACTTTGGAAGTTGCTGTGTGATGCAATGGATGTTGCCTCCACCAATGAGGATCTCCTTACTGGGAACACCCACAACCTTGCGATTGGGAAACAGATCTTTCAGGGTATCCACAGCTTTCTGATCGGTATCCGCGTGACCAAATTGCGGGATAATCACTGCTTGGTTGGCAACGTAAAAGTTGACATACGATCCTGCCATACGTTCACCCACCTTTCTGGGTGCGAACAGCCCCCATGTGTGCTTCAGGCCCTTGACCTCCTCTTTCGTGTAGAACTGACAGGATATATATCGACAAAGATCAACGCAGGTGAGTGAGTGGCAATACAAGATGGGACGCCAAAGAAGCAAGCTGAATACTAAATGTGGGTGTTCCAATGCTTACTTACCATTGGTGGTGGCAAATACAGTTTATGCACAGTGAGTGACCGGCCCTGAGCATCGGTTTCCTGCTCTAAAACACTTAAAGCTTCTCGGCATCGTTCGTAGTTGACCTTGTCTTGCTCTTCGTCATCCGTCCAACTGAGAATGACATGACCTGGTTTGAGAAAACAGGCAAAGTTATCCACATGCCCATTGGTATCTTCATCTCCATCCACTCCCAACGGCAGCCAAACAACTTTCTGGACACCCAACTGTTCACAGAGAATGGCTTCCAGTTGAGCTTGTGTTTTGGAAGGATTTCGATTGGGATGGAGCAGACATTCCTTGGTCGTCAGCAAGGTTCCCTCTCCATCCACGTGAATGGATCCACCCTCCAACACGATGGGAACTTTTCGGTGATCCATAGGAAAGGATTCCTTCTTGAGTTCCTGGCACATTCGTTCCGCCACGAGTTGATCCTGTTTGTAATCGGGGTATATTTCTCCCCAGGCATTGAAGTTCCAATCAATCCCAATTCGTTGTTCGTTGTTTTTGGACAGCGCAAATGTAGGGCCCATATCTCGTGCCCAGCTATCGTCACTGGGACAAACTCGAGTGATAATTGTACTCTCCTTTAGTTCCATCTTGATTAGTTCTTCTTGTACAAAAGCCTGCTCCTTTTCGTTGGGACAAAAGATCACCACCGTTTCCTTCCCCTCCGTTGCAATGGCTTTGGCAATTCCAAGAAATTGTTGTCGGGCTTGTGTCAGTCGAAAAACGGATGGATTGTGTGGCCACTGCAACAAGCAGGCATCATGGGGAGCCCACTCGGCGGGCATGGAGAATCCATTGTAACCAGAAGACATGATGATGGTTGGCACGTTTTATTAGATATTAGGAAGGGATATGAGAGGATACTGGTACCGGTATCTTTGTTCTCTGAGAGGATCCACAGTACTACTTTGACCTGCCGCCGAGCTTCGTCTTTTTATTTTTGGCTTGCAACGGCTAAATGGCGCATTAAGGTTAAGGCTTTATCAACCAAGATGAAACGCAAAACGAACAACCATGCAAAGAACCACAAAAAGTTGAAAGAGGGACGATGGATCAGCAACAACAACAGGCGTGGCCAAAGGCTCCACACCATGCCGTAGAGCAGCAGCAGCCAACCCAGCACCAGGACCCTTCGCAACCGCCTCAACATCGACAGCAATCGAGCGGAGATCTTTCTCAACAGCCACCACCCGATCCACCTGGTGGCTATCCCGCTAGTGGTACATCTTTCGCGACTCCCTCTGGCTTTCCACATGGCGCTGCTCCACTGAATTACAGCCAACCAACAAAGCCGCAGCCCAAACCGCTGCCTCCCCCACCGAAAGTATCGTTGCCCCCTCCACCACAACAGCCTACGCAAGAAAAGCAACAACAAGCTCCATATCCGTCTACCGATCCTGCAGCGACGGCGAGCAGTGCTGTGCCACTCCGACGAACATCTTCCAACAAACAGCGAGCCGCCAGTCCAGCAGCAGAGCAACCATCCGAAGCGTCATCATCACAAACAATCAAATCCGTCTATGAATCGATATTGCCACAATCCATTGCCTTTCGACCCATGGCGGCTGCCAAGGCGCAGGAAGCATCACCCAGGAATCTGCAGGCGACAAAAGGATCCACGGAAGATCCTCTCGATCCAGCACCGGGTACGACTCTTTATTCATTCGTTCATTTTGGTTGGATCCTTTGGCCCTTATTCATGCAATACTGGTTCGTTCTTTGCTTTTTGGTTGTTTTTGTTTTTTTGCAGCTCCAGAAGGGGCTACAATCATGCCACTGGTGGCCTTTTTGCAGAAAGGGTCCAGCAAACCATTTGGGTGGCATCGCAATGAAGAACGACAGGCCAGAGGCTTGAAACCGGTCACCGACTTGTCTTGTCAGTTGGAAGAATGGGAACGACAACTGGTAAGCATGGATCCCACCTAACAACGATCTGTGAGTGTAGACTGGGGGTCATTCTGATTCATTTTGTGATCTTCTTGTTGTGTATGTATGTAGGCGGTGGTGGAAACGCTCTTGTTGGGAGGCGGGTAAGTGACTGTCCCACCGGCTGATTTGCTCCTTTGCTTGCAACCCTGGGAAAACAATGCATGTCTCTCACGTTTCTCTCCTTAATCAACTAACTTGTTGTACTACTAATAGCACGCCGTATGCATCCTTTCAGAATCTAGCACATGCATGGGGATGCAAGAAAGGCTTTCATTCGGCGCTGATTGGAGCCGTCTGCGAATCCAAAAGAGACATGATCCGCAAACGGAGAAACGAGCTTGGATCGTTGCAAGGGTCGGCAAATGGAAACGCCAAAAAGGCAGCCAAGTAAGAGTTACTGAACCGTAGCATAGCAAACAAGCACGGGACTTAAGCTCCTCTTATGTTGTATGGGCGAGCTCTTTTTCCGAAGCCTTGTTACCTAGCGACACACGATTTTCAGTGGGATAGCCTGCCATCAGAGGCATAGACTAATACAGGAAGGGTATACAAAGAATAGAACTACACCAATTTCTATCGTGATTACATGTTATACAACAACAACTTATATATCGTTATGCAAATTGGTATGCAGCATATGCAACTACTAGCTATATATCGTTACTTCGCATTGTGGATTGTGCCAGCCCGTGTATCTCGTCTTGAAGGGCAGCATTGACTTGTTTCATGGTCTCCAATTGCATCTCCTTGGCGTTCACATACTCTGTCAGCTCGGTGACCACGCGCTCTAGTTCGAGGTTGCGCTCCAGCAAAAGCGCAGATTGGTTAATGTCATGTTTCTTGTTTTTGTTAGAAGAAGTGGAAGATGTTGCCATCAAGATTTCTCGTGCGGCACGTGACTGTTCGTAGGATTTGCGGTAGGAGTGACACTCTTCCAGTGCTTTGCGTTTCTGTTTGCGGAGCAGCATGACTTCTTCTCGACGAGCTTCATCGTCGGCCAACATGCGCTCCACATCCGCCAGAGAACGTCCATTCCGGCAAATGCGAGCAATCTCTCGAGACAGCGAGTCTGCCTTTTGCTTGAACGAATTGCGTTCTGACTTGAGTTTCTGGTTCTTGGACTGAATTCCCTTCAATTCCAACTTGATGGACGACGCACTCTCTTGGCACATCTCCATCTCTTTCTGAACCTCCTCCAGAGTGTCTTTGGTGGATTCCAGTTCTTGACGGCAATCCTTTTCTCTCTGTGTGGTATTCTGCAAATCTACCTTGAGCTCCTGGTAGCGTTCGTTGGTTTCATCGAGCTCTTTTCGCCACTGATCTTGTTCGGATACTTTGGACGAGAGTAAAACAAATGACTCTTGGAGTTCCGCCATTTTGACCAGTTTGCTTTCTCGGGCTTCTACCGCAGCCGCGAGCACGGCCTTTTCATTCTGATGCGACTTGGCCGTCTTTTCCAGTTCGGCAATGGTGTTGCTATGGCTTTCCAATTGCTGCTTGAGATTGGCCATTCTCATGGAATTCTCCTCCTTGATGCGCTTTACGGATGCTTGGTGCTCGTCGGCAATCTGTTCCGCCTTCTTTTGGGCTTTCTTGCTGGATTGCAGTCTCGATTCCAATGTGAGGACCTTTTGTTCACATTGTGACTTTTGTTGATTGGATTGTTCCAGAGCAGCGTCGGAACGCGTCACTTGACGCTGGAGTTCCGAGACGACCTTGTCCTTTCGGGCCAATTTGGCTCTCAAAAAGGCGATTTCTTGTTCGAGCTCTGTTTCTCGATGGGAAGAGGAAGATTCCGCTGGAGTTTGTGATGACGCTAGCGTTCTGGAAGATGGAGGGCCGGCAATGGACTCGGAGGAAACAGTGCTGAGATCGTCATCAGAGCTGTGCGTGGAGAGACTACAACTTCGAGAGCGTTGTTCTTTGGTGGAACTGGGAGGAGAGAGGGACAAGTGCTGGACTTCTTTGGGTCCAGGTTCTACCACCACGGAAGATGTTTCAGTTGTTTCGGCGTGACTCCCACCGGCAGACGAGTCTTCATCACTGCTGCTGCTGCTGCTACTGGCACTACTGTACTCATCATCCTCATCATCCGGAGGATACAAGATGGTCGTCGCCTCCAAGTCGGCTGGTTTTCCCTTGAAATTGGCAATTCCAATGGCCAGCAGTAACGACTCTCTAGCGAATCGATTGGGAGCGACCAGTTCCAAGATTCCCTCATCCGACACGAGCGCCGACACCAAACTGGCATTATCTAAATCACACGATCGGAACTGCAGTTGGAGTGCCTTGGAATTGACATGCGACGAATGTGCCTTGACGCGATAGAGTGGATCCGCGTGGAGTGGTTCTGCCGTTTCTCCCGCCACTTGTTCCATTTTGACACTGCTGGCGACCTTGTTTTTCTTGTGATATCCCATTTCGACTTGTACTCGCATAGTCCGCCCGTGCGCCCGCCCTTCACCAATCATGCCACCAAACTGTGCTCCCCGCACCAACGCTTGTCGAGCTCCATTAAAGAGCGACAAATCGGCCGCCACCACGTGGGGTGTGATGCATCGCACGACATATTGTTTATTGTTGTCATCATCATCAGTACTACTGTCGTCCGATTCGCTGTCACTGTCCATGAGCGAGGACGGATGGGACGTGTCGACCGTGACAATGCACAAGAGTAGATAACCAATTTCAGTGGTACTTGGTTGAAAGGCAGCACTGGTGGCTCCTGGCAGTTCCATCCAATTGTTGTCATCACAGTCCTTGAGTCCCTTGTACCATTGATATACATAACCCCTTGGAGGACACGCTTCCACTGCTGATTTTCGAATGTACAATACCGACGACATGGTGACGGTCAACTCGGAAGACGGTCTGTTGTTGTGGTTGTTATGGAGCGGTAAAAAGGCTCCCAAACTGGTCTGCACAAAGAGTCCACAAGGAGGTGCTTCTTGTATAGTGGTCGTAAGGTTCTTGTTATTGGCCGCTCGACTCGCGGCAGCGGCATGAAGCGATTGGACCGCCACAGTGGATGCGGCTTCCGCGGCGACTCGCATTCGTGATCCCCATGCAGACCATCGTCCGAGTGGATTGGATTTGTTGTTGCTTTTGTTGTGTGTGTCTTCGTCTTGCGACTCTTCCGAGTCACTGGCGGTACTACTGGCATCGTCGTCGTTTGCAGAGGAGGAGGAAGAAGATTTGGAGGAAGACTTGTCCAATCGTAAATTGTCGCTGGGTTCCATCAACTCGAGGACAATCGGCCCAGGTTGCCCTCGCATCGCTGACAAAATGGTGGCAAAATCGGCATCCTTGAGACTCCCCATCAAGACACATCCCACCAGACTTGTCGGTCGATCGTCTCGTTCGTCGCGACTATTGTTGTTGTCAAACGACGCCACCACGGCGCCTTTTGCTTCACTTTCTACACGAGGCATCAACACCAGACGCTTCGAAAGGTCTTCGTAATCGTGAAACGACAACTGAATCGTTGCAGACATGATGTGCAATAATAACAACCCGGATTGCTGCTGCGCACTCAACACACGGAGAGAAATGGTGGCGGCTTGTTATAGATAATACTGCTGCTAGCTTGCTACCGTAGCTACCGTAGCTTGACTATTATTATCTTGGGTATTATCCGAGAGAGATCGATGATGAAGAATAATATTAGTTGATCCCTTCCCAATTTGAGAGGACGAATTTGGGGACTCTTGACTGTGGTGGGATATGCCATACCGCCAATGGCGTCGGCGGCGATGCTCGAATATCAAATATACAGACATCAATATAAGTATAAGAGGGGGATTGATGCGATCGTACCGATCAACGGAGCGTTAAAACAATAGAGTTGGAAGGACATTCATGTACCGGTAGGGAGTAAGGCATCTGAGCTACCACCGTTGTTGTAGCTAGCCAGGGTTCTCAATCCTGTAGCTTCTTCTACCCCTTCAGAAGAGGAAGCAAAAGATCCTCTCTTTTGTTCTTCCCACTACTACAAGTGGCTGATAGAAGGAAAGAGCTTCAGATCCCGCGCTGGTTGAATAGTAGTGGAACAAGATCACCACGGCTGAGAACCGAACAACACCTTTATCATCAGTATGGCCACAGAAGGAGTGACCAATTTAAACGAGGCACTACCAACATCCATTGGTGTGAGGATGTATGTGGTTGCCAAGCATGCGCACAGTGATTGGATCGCGGAATACTACAACTTTTGGTCCAATCTGGCCTTTTGCGTTGCAGCACTCATTGGAATAAAGCGCTGTGTGGAGCTCAAGCTCAGTGTGGCATTCTGGGCTGCAGAAGTCGTCATGTGCTTTGGAATTGGATTTGGTAGTATGATCGTATGATCTTTCATGCTCATCAGTCCAAAGTTGCACAGTGTTTTGATGAAATACCTGTCCATGAGTATGCTGGTCATGGCACAACTACATACACTAAAGGATGCAACCCTTTGGTTGACGCCAAGCAAAGGGGAGAAACGAGCACCAATGTATTATTGCTATCACATATGGGTGGCGGCCTACTGGGCTATCTATGCTTACACCAATGTCTATGAGCATTTCAATATCGGATTCACCATTCAAGCAATTTGCGCATTCCTGCTGTTGTTTGATGTTGGGAGGAGGTATAATTATTCCCAGCGAAAGTGGTATGCAGCTGTTGGGTCTATTGTGGTTGCAAAATTCATCTGGGGATTGGAACGAAAACACTACGAAGAGGGCACATGTGATAGTCCAGGCCAGGGGCCCTTGCCTACCATCCTCTTTGGCATGTTGGTGCTGGCCTATCACATTACTTTGCCATGCGACAATGTGCAGAATTGTTTGAAATCCACAAAAGTGGGAAATGTGGCAAGAAGATTTGATTGATTGATTGATTGATTGATTATGGACGGTGGATTGATACCAATCAAACATTCCCAAACTACACCAGTATCCTTACGCATCACACACGTACAATATACATTCGCCTTCTCCAACCTCTATGACCACAGCTTTGCATGTACACTGCAGCTTTTAATGTGGTCGAGGAAAGTCATTCTAATAGCTTTCTACCATGCTGCATCCAAACTGCAACACCTAGCTAGCAATTCAATTCAATACTACTTTGGGTTTTCTGACGACAACTTCCATGCCAAATCCTTGATGCACGCTGCACTCATGGCTCCCATGTCCCTGGGCACACACATGCGTTCGTCCAAAAATGCTGCCAGGCATCCCACCATCTCGGGGTCGCCCTCCATACTGCTAGTAGTATCTCCATTCTGGATCAAGACATGGACCAAATTGCGCAGCACAACATCCAACTCTTTTGACCCATCCGGCAATTGGACGGCTGCTTCTCGATTGTAGGATTGTTGTTTTTGTAAATCTTGTAGAATGCGTTGTCGATTCTGTGTGATAATCTTGGCCGCTTCGGCACTGGGAGTGGATGCCACGTAGGGGCGCGTAGCGGCGTATTCATCCCACACGTCTTGTTTGACACAACTCAATGCCGTTTCTCGTTCCGCTTGTGTCAAGGCATCCATATTGGTCCCAATCGCGGGTGGTACTCCGGAATTTCCAAATCCCGCCATGCTCAATACTTTGCGCCAACTCGAGGCATCCCCCTTGACGCGACAGGCATAGGATGGGACGTGTTGTTCCATGGCGTGGAACCATGCTGCCAAGTGCGGGTATTCGGTGGGATTATCGGGTTCCAATCCTTGGTGCAAACAGGGCAACTGATACCGATATCGTTCCAGGAAGGGAGCCCAGGCAATGTCGGCGGCGGTGACCTGGCTGCCGGCGAAAAAGGGGCCACTATCAGTGGTTGTAGCCAACAAGTCGTTGGTTTGTTCGAGTGTTTCTTCAAAGGTACTCTTCGAGAGAGGTTCTCCATTGTACTGGAATAAAAAGGCGGCTCGAGACGACGGTCGAGCCCGTGGGAAAATGGAACGAAAGGAATCGACGTAGTGTTGGACTTTATCACTACTTTGCAGTTTGGAATTGTAGTATTGTTCATCCAATGCTTGGACCAAATCGTAGGATTCTCCCTGTTTGCTTCCATCGGGCCATTTCATTTGAGGAGTTTGTCCGCCATAATAGGAGGGTCTTGGTCCTCCTGTATTGTCAATGCGGACGGTATCATAGTCCATGCCAATGAGTTCCATGGTCAACCAGACTCGTTCACTGTAAGGACACCAGCCATGACGTTCGCGAAAGAGGGTCGGTCGTTCGGTGGAGAATGTGGGCGTGTCGGGATTCAAAACCGAGTCAATGGAAGATGGAGTGGGAGCCGTAAAAGCAGGGCCCAACATGCCTTCCAAGGAGTCCCAGGAGGGGGTATCCCGTAACCAAGTAGTGGCAGACCTGGACAGTGATTGTCTGGTGGGAACAAAGGATTCTACTACCACATGGTTATACTGTGCTGCTAGTACATGTAGGAACAGCACACCCAGTTGCTGACGGGAGGGAAAAAGAGGTACTATTATCATCTTGCCAATTGAACTGATGCCATCAGAAATCATGAGATGAGATCTTTGAGAGGGGTATCCATCAGCTGATCTGAGATAGATATAACAGGTTGTCAGAGCCAACTGGGTGTAAAGATCTTTCCATCGTGGGAAGATTGCTAACGGTTGGCTTCCGACGAAAACGGTACGACCCAATGAACTTCCGAATGCTACCCATGGTACATAACGCTCGTGAAAAGCTTGCACGTCTTCCATCATTCCTGCGAAAGATGAAGTTGTCCATGGGACAACAAAATCGGCCACAGTCCTGACCAAAGAAAAAGCAGCTATACAATAGTAATAGTTCCCCACCATCATGAGCTGTGTGAGCCCCTCGTACTACCACCAAAGCGGTGACACCACCACCAGCACCACCCCAACTAATAATAGTAGTATTGGCAATGGCGCTCGTCGACCGTACAACTATACATCCGTGGACAACCAAGTCAACATTATGAAACGGCAAAGACAACAGGATACCACTGGTAATAGTAATAGTGACAATGATCAGCAGAGCAGTGCCAGCAACAGTCCCTTTAATCCACTCCAACTGGATCAGAGCAGCAATATCCTTATACAAGACATTGATGAAGATCAGGAACAAGGCAGCAATGCCAACAACAACAACAACAGTGATAATAGTCTGCTCTACAGTTCAGAGGCATCCAATGCGGGTCGAAAGAAACTCACCTATCGCATCCGAAGTCCTTCCAAGAAGAAGAATGGAGCAACCAACAACAAATCATCATCCACCGTCCTGCTCAAACCACCTCAAGAAAGTACTACTAGTAGGAGACGTCACAGTCCATCCAGTACCAGAAGCAAAAGTCCTTCGGATGCCACAGCGGATGAATTGGAACGATTTCAAGATGAACTCGAGAAACGACCGGTGGTATCCCCTTCCTTCTCCATGATTTCTTCCCGAAGCAGTCGCGCACCCACTCCCACCATTAGCAATACATCCTTTCGAACTGCCACCACCACACCCCTCTCCAAAGCCAATAAACACAACAATACTACCGTCAGTACAGAGCCCACCATGACGTCTCCTCCTTCCTCCTTCATGGATTCCTTGAATCTGCTCAATTCCAGTCATCCCACGCCACAATCGTCACTCATGGATACCATGCATCTTGTCAGCAGTGATAGCAGTGCTGCTTCGGGAGATGAAAAACGAATACGGAGGTACTCCCCACAAAGTGCTGCATCCTCTGCATCCAGTGCTCGAAGGAGAAGTCCCAGCAATTCACCACAACAACAAGAGACACCAGCAGCAGCATCTAGTAGTACTATGAATCATAACAATAATACCCAATCTCATCAAGCCTCCTCCTCCAGACAACAACAACAGCAACAACCCAAACTGCGACGAAACTTTCCCTACGACCACGACAAACGCAATGACAACAACAACAATGCCATCGAACCACCCAAGTACTACCACCCCGCCTATTGGGATGCCCGCTTGGCACGACGGGAAATATACAGTCGCATGTATCGTCCCGATCGAAACGAACTCGAAGAACTCCAAGAACTCGAACAGTTTCTAGGCATTCCAGAAGCCAAACGATCCCGCAAAAACATTATCGTCACACAATGGCGAAGACTCAATCCCAGCACGTCACAGGCATCCCAGCAAAACATTCCCATGTCCATTGTCCTCAAACGAGGACCCGTCGCATGGGGGTCCCATGACGAATGTGAGTTGATCTTGTTGACCCGAGGATTCGTCGTGGCACGCAAGGTATTTCAGTACATTCCACGCTTCCAACTGGGGGAACTATGGACCAATGTGGAAAAGATTACACCCTCGGGAATGACGTCCTTTACCATTGTCTGCAATGACACCAAACAGTTGGAGTTTTCCTGTCCCACGGCGGGTGATTTGCAGGCATGGATGACGGCACTGCGAATGGTCGTTTTGCAGGCATTTTCGCTCCAAGCAAGCTTGCTGGATACGGCCGATTCCACCTACCAACCGGGATGGCAGTACAAGATTGTGCAAACACCGTGGTTTTCCGAAGCAGTCACGGGACATGTGCACATTGAATCCAACATGCTCGATACCATGGACAACCGGGATCTCAACACCTTGGATACGTACAATCAATGTTCCCCTCTGCATTATGCCGTACGAGCCAATCATGTCGATGCCATTCGATTCTTGTTGCAAGCGGGGGCCGATCCCAACATGCCCGATGGAATGGGACAAACTCCCATGCAGTGTGGTAAGGACTTGACTTTGACTTGTGTGTGTAACTATCTGGTTCCTTTTGTGTTTGGCTCCCAAGATGCAGTTTGATGTCTTTGCAGAAAGATTCTTCAATTAAAACCTGACATGTTGCTCCTCTTTTCCTGTTGCTTTGTCCACTAGCCATCGAAGACGATCTACCTGAATCATCGATTGACTTGTTAGCATCCTTTGGCGGCAGACTCCCCAGGAATGTATCCAATCGCCCAACCTGCCTTCCACCCGTTCAAGCCAAGGATACCAATCAACGATGTCGACGGTTATTCTTGGTATTGCTGTTGTTTTTGTTGGTCGCAACCGGGGTTACTACGTTTCTGATTTGGTATTTGGGCAGGGATCAATCCAACTCAGCAAACAGCATAGAATCATCACAGTCTGCAACAACCGATACCTCTTCCGAAGTTGGTTTTGATGAAGAACAAGATAGACTGGTGCCCGTTGACGGAGATGATGAGCAATCGATATCGACAACTCCCCCGTTCTTGGTCGTGGGTGTGAACCCTATTCTGGCTACCAACTTGACGACAGACTCTCCATTTCCGACGTTTGAGACAAACGCTCCACCGTCGGCAAACCCACTGGAAGGCACTCTTAACGACGGAGTCTCGGAGGAACAGCTTACACCGGTCATTGACATTCAATTACCTACATCTCCCTCTTCCTATACGCCGACGCCATCTGTGTACGTTATTGGTTCGCCGACGACGAATCAGTCGGGCTACACTACGACGGACCCGCCGTCCCATCAGCCTTCCTCGGCTCCCACTCGGACTCCTACTCAATCTCCCACTTTCCTTCGAACTCCATCTCCCTCGCGTAGACCTACTAGCTCCCCTACCAAATTTCCAACGGGATCTCTTACGGCAAAGCCCACCCCCATGCCTACTGCACCAAGGGCAACCCCCTTTCCCACCACAATCCGGCCTACATCGGGATCGACTGTCACTCAATCCACAAACAAGCCCACTGGGGCTCCCACTGGGGCTCCCACTGGGGCTCCCACTGTCAAACCAACCGACCTGCCAACTAATCTCCCAACAGGACTCCCAACGACCAGCAGTCCTTCCGTAGCTCCAATCGGCGGTTTTGCTGAAATGGCTCCAACCGACTTTCCAACGTTTGAAACCTTTCAAGAAGGGAACATCTTGCTACCAGAGGATATCCTGCTGTTTGAGTTCCTAGTGGACAACTCCTTGGACGGTGGAGAAGCGCTCAAAAATCCAAAGTCGGCCCAATACGCGGCTTTTCGCTGGCTCTCGGGAAACATGGAATTGCCAGCGTACTCGGACAAACGAAGAATCCAACGCTATGCTCTGGCGACTTTATACTTTAGCACCAATGGGGAAGGGTGGAGCAATAACCATTTCTGGGTATCCGATGCAGACGAATGCACTCTTTGGTTTAGCCGGGTTGCCGAAATCGCTACAGATGTCATTTGCAATGGGGAGAAAGAAATTGTAACATTGGATTTGGATTACAACAACTTACAGGGGGCGTTGCCCCGGGAAGTCGCTCTTTTGACGAGCCTTCGCCGAGTGGAGTTGTATGGGGGCCCTCAAGGATTTTTAACTGGAACGCTGCCAACCGAGCTGGGCTTATTGTCAATGCTAGAATCGCTATCCGTCAGGGGGAATCGAATGTCTGGCAGCATTCCAAGTGAATTGGGGAAATGCACTGCTTTGGAAAACCTAAACTTGAGCCAAAATCGCATTTCCGGGACCTTGCCGTCGAATCTAGGTTGGTTGAACCAACTAGTGACCATGGCATTGGAAACAAACCGGCTTGTGGGTAGCCTGCCTACTGAACTCGGGCTCATCACGGGATTGCAGTCCATGACTTTGGGGACGAATGCGCTGTCGGGCAAGATATTTTCGGAGATTGGGTTGCTTACCGATCTTCAAGGGTTGGATTTGGAGACGAACCAACTCTCATCTGAAATCCCTTCCGAAATTGGGCTCCTATCGAATCTCAACCTGCTACATCTGGGCGTTGCAGGAATTAAGGGAAAAATCCCACCTGAAATCGGAGGCATGGTGTCAATGTCATCATTTCAGGTACGAGGCAATAGGCTGAGTTCCTCTATTCCGGCTTCCATTGGCCGTCTCGTCAACATGGGTAAGTTTGATACTATGAAGGTTGATGCTATTAATAACTACGTTACGATGACCAGGGTTTTGGATCTCACCACATACATTCATTGCTTGGCTTTACTCTTTCTTTCAGGAACTCTTGACTTGTCCTTCAATAAGTTGTCGGGGTCTATACCGTTTGAACTTGGGAATGCTTCTCTACTGCGTAAGTCATTACTCATTCCCACCAGGGGCAACCAAAAGGAAAGAAAGTGATTCATGATGTGAATCAAGTTGTCTAAACGATGAGCTGCTGTTTGTTCCCTTTTGATGTCACAGGAACTCTCTTGTTGAATTCAAACAGTCTGACTGGGCCAGTTCCAACTGAAATAGGTCAACTGAGTCGATTGAGTAAGTAGTGCGACACCACAATCCAACGCGGATGAAGTCGCTCGAAATATGCCACATTTCTCATCCTCTCTTGTCATTTGTTTGTTCCAACTAAAGACACTATTCGTTTGGAACTGAACGACATGAGTGGTGCGGTGCCCATTGACGTTTGCGACGTCTTCTCCAACACGTATCCCATGTTCTACGTTGATTGCCAGGAAGTCTCCTGTTCCTGTTGCACGTACTGCTGCCTTGACACAGCGGGCTGTACATGTACACACGCAGGGACTTTGAACGAGTTCCTTTGCTAGCTACCGGTAGCTGGGCTACATGCAACTGGGTGGGTGAATGGGTGTTCCACATTGTTTGGAGGCAGGTGTTCCGGCGAGGGCGGGATTGGATACCGGTAGTACCGGTACCGGTATTCTTTGCTTGCATTGGCAGCAGCGAAGCACATGAATGGTGGCCGGCCAGAGACATCTTCTAAGGGCATCACCTATGCATAACTGAAAAGAACAACGCTTGTCCGGGCTGGTACCACTATCTATAGCTGTAGCTCCAGCTACTACTAGCTAGTGACGGTACTGTAGGAACAAAGCAAACGAGAGAACACGGCGCAGCAGCGGTGCGTGGTGGCATTTCCCAACCATCAAACGGCATCATCAAACGACATCGTCAGTCGGGTACGTAAGGTTGTGGGAAGGATACATGATACGTTCTGAACTGGGTTCAGATGGGTTCAAAATGGCCTAAGCTCCTCTGGGAGAGAGACGGAGGTGCCGGGAGAGAGCTTGGACACACATATGCGTACCGGTACGGTAAGATAACTAGGTAGCTACAAACAAAATGACGGCCCGATAGATAGACCAACCCAAAGGCTCTGAACACCGGCACATGGACATGTACGTGCTGCATTCTTGCTACATGTAGATCTAGTTTACCTGGAGCTGCATGTACGATACGATCATACAACTTCAGAAAGAAGAGGCTCCAAGCTGGATGTCAAGCCGTGTCGTCTCCATTCTGGTACCTGGAGCTTCACGTACTATTGTACATGTACATCATGTAGTCTGCCTGGACGTCCATGTACGATACGATGCAATTAGAAAGAAGATAGATGGAAAGCCGTGTCGTCTCCTGTCACGGTCAAAACCGGTCGTATTTATGGACAAAACTGGCCAGTGAATCTTGTTCAAACTACCTGCCCTCTAAACCCCCGCCTTAAAGTGTTCAAGGGAGCCATCCGTCACAAAATTTTGAAATTTTGCATGTTGCCTCACATTTTGATCTCATCAGCATGTCCCCATGCTACTCCCTTTGATGAAGAACGGCAATCGACTTGTGGAACTGGTACCAAATTAGGTGGTTGGTGGAGTAAGAAACCAGTTAGTTTCATATCGGATCGTACCGACTTGTGTCTCTTTTTCTAAACTAGTCTAGCTAGCTATAGAAGAAAGTGGCTTTGGTTTGGAGAACAATTTTAAACGGAGTATCCATTGCATCCATTCATCCATCAACAATTCACAGAATCGTCTAGCAGCAACAAGCAAGTACCCAGATGTCCGTGTCAACGATAGGGACACCCATGTCGTTTCGCCAAGGTCGTCCTCCTCGGTTCGACTCTCCTGCCTCCCGCAAGCGAAGAGCCACATCAGCGGCCGCAGGCATGTCCACACCCAGTGGTCATGACAGTATTGGAGGATCCAGCGAACTGTCATCCGGTCAGTTACTGCGACCCACCCACTCCTTTACTGGAGGCATGGATCTCTTTGGAGGACAGGATGATGATTTAGACAACTTTGCCAAGTACATTGTAGATGAGGATGACGATGATGAGGACGACGATGATGAAGAGAGTGGACAAGAGATGGTGGCTTCTCGCGTCATCTCCTTTGAAAGCGACGAAGAATCTCCGGGACGACACAAAGAAAAGGGAGGCATGATGCGACTCTTTCGGTTTGACAGACGGCGTAAAAAGAAACCCAAACAAAAGACAAGTGCTGGATCTCAAGAACAGTCGAAACAACAGCAGCAGTACAATCACAATCCACCACTTCCACCAACAACAACCAATCATCAGCCATTCCATCATCCACCCCCGCAATTGCTCGTACACCAATCGGCGCCTCCCGCTTTGATATCGCCACACAACCATCTCAGTCGTTCCCATAATCGTCACAGTCACCACTTGCCTCCAACACCATATCCCATGCCACGGCAACACCAACCATATCAATTGCCGTATCGCCCACAATCGTCGCTCTCCTGGTCCAGACCGACACCTGTCACCACCGTGCCCAGAGATGAACATGAAAATGCAAATCCAACCGAGATTCGTTGCGATACACCGGCCATTGCCACCCAAAGAAGTCGCTCTTTGCCAGACTACAGAACCTACAACGACCCCAAATCCACGACACTACCTCGCATGGGATCCTTTGGAATGGGAATTGATACCATCCCTGCTAGCCCCAAAATGGCCACCTTTGCACCCTTTACACAAGATGAAGCCGAAACAGAAGAAGAAGAACAACAACTAGAAGAAGACCAGATTATCCTCCGCACTCCGTCTTGGAAATCGTCATCCTCCATGATGGACAGTGTCATGTCCACTGCCATGGTGCCCTATGCCTCGGGAATTGAGCTTGTGGATCAGGAAGGCACGCCACAAATCGATCGCACCGACAGCTGGAATCGGCGTTTGGAGCGAACCGACATTTACCATCGGCACTACATGCCCAGTCGACTCGAGATTGGTGAACTGCAAGAGCTCGAGGACTATCTGGGCATCTTTTCCGCCAAGACCAAACATCGATTCTCCACGCTCTGGAGACACCTCGTGCCACCCTTGGATTATGCCGTGAGCAGACAACAGCGCTCCAGTCGACGAAGCCTCTCGCAGGCATCGGCATCCTCCATGTCCGACTTGTCGTCCGTAACTGGACAACAATTGCCCGTCAGTAGCAAGAGCAAGTCGTCCTCGACCTTTTACTCCATTGTCCTCAAGAGAGGTCCAGTCCAATTTGAAGAGTACAATGATTATCACTGCGAATGGATACTATTGACCCGGGGCTTTGTGGTGGCACGGCCCAACTATCAGTACATTCCTCGTTTCCAGGCCGGGGACCTATGGGCAAGTGTGGTACAGGTAGAACCCACAAACCCGCTCTCCATTACTCTGAGTTGCACGTCGCGCGCTGCTAGTACGCACTTGACTCTGACCCAACTCAAGCAACAGCAACAGGTACATAAAAACGGACGGTTGCATACTTGTGCTTTTTGTTGTCCACTGTGGAACCTCACCTGCTTTTGTTTCTTTAGTATGGATGCTACACCTACCAGCTGTCTTGTCGCACACCGCAAGAACAGGCATCCTGGTTGGAAGCACTGCGAAAAGTAGTCGTACAGGCTCACGATTCCACTGGCACCAACGAAAAGGAGATGGGAGGCTTGGGGTGGCAGTACCGCGTGGTCTACGTTCCGTTCTTCACAGAGGCTGTCACCGGTGATCCCATTCAAAAGGAGAAAATCTTGGCAGGTTCCACGGGTCATGTGGATCTGAATGCCTTGGATTCCTACAATTCCTATGCCCCGATGCACTATGCCACCCGTGCCAATCATGTTCGTGTCATGCGGTTCCTATTGGAGGCTGGCGCAGATGTCCATGTCGGTGATGGCTACGGAAGAACGCCCATGTACTACGGTAGGTTCTTCTTCCTGGTGCGCCTTTTTGTCATCGTTCGTTGTCGCACTCACAACGATAATTTTGCTGTGTGCTTCCCATCAAAGCGGAACTGCATCAACTGCCCGAAGCAACCATCCAGATGCTCGAGGCCCATGGTGCCGGACGATCCAAGAAACCTGCCTCCATGGGATTGTCGCGGAAGGCCTGGAGGCGGCGGAGCTGTCGACTTCGGCTCATCATCCTTGCCTTGATTCTGCTCCTTTTGGCATGCTTAGCCGGAGGTTTGCTGTGGCATTTTGGAATGTTGGAAAGTCTTGGAATTGGCAGCAGCAAGCAGGAGGAGGATGTTGGTGTTCCTGATGCTAGCCAACAGGGGGAAGTATTTGGCATTGATGACGCCGAAATGGGTCCTGTGGTGGTGACTGACGAGTGGTCGGAAGCCACACGAGAAGACACGGCGCCCCCCACAGCGGCTCCTGTAGTGTCTCCTTCACCGTCCTCTTCACAACCCTCTTCGCCGCTGCCGACAGGCATCCCCGAGATACAAGTAGCACCACCACTTGTCTCGCGTGGGGAAGAAACTGCCACCCCCTATCCAACCAGATCTCCTTCCTACATCAAGACACCACTCCCAACTCCCCAAGCCACCACCATTCGACAAATTCCTGCGACAGATTCCCCTTCTTTTACTCCCAGTTCGAGTGCATTCGATACGGCTCTGTTCCGCCTTTTGGCGTCGGCTTCATTCGACGCTGGAGCAGCTCTTCGAGTGCCTGACAGCCCCCAACAGCGCGCTTTCTTTTGGCTACATCAAAATGCAAACATTGATTCGTACACCAACAGCCGCAAGATACAAAGATATGCCTTGGCTACTTTCTATTACAGCACGAATGGCGACAACTGGGCTGAAAATCTTTGGTGGCTGAGTGATGAGGACGAGTGCACTTGGTACAACAAACAAGTCGCGAATGGCTACCCGGCCTGCCAAATCAACACGAGTAATAGCGCCCAAAGAACTTTCACAAGCTTGGACTTGAGTTTCAACAACGTTCAAGGTACCATTCCGCCAGAGCTAGGTCTGCTTTCTGGTTTGCTTCGGCTCGACTTGGATGGTGGACCGGCTGGTTTCCTGTTTGGCACTCTACCACCAGAGTTGGGTTACTTGGACTCGATTCAATCATTCAGTGCTCGCGGCAATCAACTAACCGGAACCGTGCCAGAAGATATTGGAAACTGGAGACAAGTGACCGGCATTGACCTGAGTTTCAACAAGTTGACTGGTTTGATGCCCTCTACTATCGGCTCTCTGACCTGGCTGTCAGAACTGACGCTGGAAATGAACGAGCTCTCGGGGGTTCTTCCCGTAGAGTTGGGCCAGTTGAGCAACCTTTTCAAACTGGCAATTGGTGGCAATCAATTCCAAGGCCCATTGATGTCGGAGATTGGATCTCTGACAAAACTGCGGTACTTGTACATTGAAGTGAACCAGTTTTCATCACTTCCCACGGATATTGGACGGTTGGAAAACCTGAACGTTCTCTCGGCCTTTGAGAACAACTTCCAAGGGGCGCTTCCAACTGAACTTGGTCGCCTCACGAAGCTTGGCAGCCTTCTCTTGCGCTCGAATGCCTTTTCAGCGTCCATGCCGAGTGAATTGGGTTCGATGGACGCTATTCAGAGTGAGTTTTGATTGGGCTCTCTTGCGTCTCGACCGGGAATCAAAAGACAGACTTCTCAAGCCGTTTCTCTTCTTTTCTCCTCTCTCACCCCTTAACAGACGCATTGGACCTTTCCTTCAATCAAGTATCAGGTCCGATTCCTTCAGAACTTGGACGGTTGACTCTACTGAGTGAGTTCTGTGGCAGTGGATTGGTCTTAGTTGTATTTGCACTTGTTGTTCCTGTTCATGCTCACGACTTCTGCTGCCTTTCATACAGGATCGCTTTATCTTCAATCCAACAAGTTGTCAGGAGCCATACCTAATGAATTGTCGTCGCTGAGTCAACTAAGTGAGTGCCATGTTCAACATGTTCAGGAGATCTCGCACTGGTGTCCCGCTCAACCTTTTCACTTTTGTTCTTGCAGACACTCTTAGGGTCGAATCCAACGACATTGGAGGAATCGTTCCTTCGGCCATGTGCACAATATTCAACACAACGTTTCCGAACTTTTATGCAGATTGTGCCAGTGAAGTCTCCTGTTCTTGTTGTACTTATTGTTGTGTCGACGATGGTGGATGTGAATGTCAGTACGCAGATACAAATGCCTACCTCTGCTAATCAATTTACGCTACAGCTGCCTGCACAGTAAATAGTGGCGTTTGTTGCAAACCTGGTCTTGCCTTGACTATACCTAGCTCGTTGCTGCGTAGCTCCTCGATACATGTACCGTGTGTGCGTACAGGGAGTTGGACAACTTCGCAGACCTGCAATACGAGCATCCTTCCTGTCCTTTTGCCAAAGAATGAAGCCAGAGGGCTGTACCAGTAGGCTCTCACAATAGCATAGTTCTGCATGCGCCAGACCACAAGAATTTCCATCTCATGTCCTACTGTACAGTACCAGCATTAGTCGCCGCATGTGCCAGACCACAATATTTTCAGCTCATGTCCTACCGTACCGGTACCAGCATGGCTGTGGCTGTACGAGCTAGTACCGGTACGGTAGCAAAGTGCTATCAATAAAGTTACAGTTAAAGATAGTTAGTTTTTCTAATCCTCCTCACAAGACAGAGGAATCTTCGAAACCGGGGCAGTGGTTCTCCATAAGATAACGCATCACTTCCTGATTGCCACCGTTTGCACCGCAGACCCATGTTTGCTCATTCCATGGACAGCCATTTTCATGGGCATACTGCAGGATTTCCAAACGGCCATATGTTGCAGCTTCGTCGCATGTGCCTTCATCCCAAGGGCAGCCATTTTCATGGGCATACTTCAGGACTTCCAAATGTCCACCCTCAGCAGCATAGCTGCATGTCAGAGCGTCCCACAGACAGCCATTCTCATGGGCATATTTCAGGACCTCCAAATGTCCATCTCCTGCTGCATATCCACATGTGTCCGGATCCCACGAAAATTCTTTGGTTTCTCGGGCCCATCGGAGAACTGCAAGACTTCCCACTTTGGCGATGACTTCACAAACAAAGTCTTGATGTATGCCATCATCTGATTTGTTCCAGTCGTCATACCAGTATTCTGCACATTGCAAATTGTAAAATGCTGCGCTGTAGATCGTGTCAGCGATCCCTGCTGCGCGTGTACGCTTTTCAGGATACCAAATTTCAACAACCACTGGAGGGATCTTGACAGTTCCACAGTACTCTGTGTACAGGGCCTTCATCTGCTTGCTGACAGGTGCCACAAAGGCAAAGTGGCCCATGCCGACAAAGGAAAAGATTCGTTGGATCCAAATTTCTTTTGTAGCCAAGCGAAGAAGATCCCCAGAAGCAGCTGGCTTCTCCTGGTCCACGCTGGAACGCTTCACTTCTCGGTCAGCTGCAGATGTCATTTTTGTGTCATTGTCGTCGTCAAGGCAAGCACGCTTCGTTCCGGGGTTCGTCATCGTCGCTGCAGTTGGTTGATCTGGTCCAATGCAACTGTCGTTCGTCTTTCGTCTTTGGTGCCGCCGAGGTTTGGATTCGATTCTGGATTTTGATACAACTCCAACCCTAATGAACTAACCCTCGACAGCACATGTTGAAAAGGTGTGAACTTGAACGCACAATTTCTCTAATTTAATCAATATCCTTCCAGCTCTACTGTCTAGTAGACTGGCTATCTGTTTCGTTTTCTCTTTCTCTCTCGTTCAGATTGTGAGCTCTACAACTGAGCTCCGATATGCATACATATACCAGGATCTTTCGATCCTCTGTTTCTCGTAGTTTCATCTGCAGATAGATCTCGTCATCTATCTTCCTGAATGCATGGTTGCCCTGGAGGGCTTTCCCACTTTACTAAACCTATTGACCTTCATCCGTCCATTCATTGTTCCATCCCGTCGCTCCTTGCATTCATCTCTCGACCTAACTTCCAACCTTTGTAGTTGCATCATCTAGACGACCATTGTCCTCGTTCCTCGTACCCTGGCCATCTGATGATATCGGATAACCATCTGATTGAGTCACACATCCCCAATCACGAACCGTTATTGGATCCCGAGTCGTCTGTCCGTCATACGAAAATACCTTTCTAACACCCTTCCTGTTTTCGCGATGATGGCAGCGACCTTCTTACCAACTCAAACAATTGCTCCTTGTCTCCGTTAGTTTCGGTGCATGTCTGTCGAGGTTCGACGTTGACATTCTTGGTTCCAATGTCGCTCACGTTGTCTTCGAGCGAACAAATCAATCTTCACTAGGCCGTCCTGCTGCATTTGGTTCACGTAGTGCCACCTCGTATCCATATGCCTTGTTCGACTTGCACTTGTCTTGTTCTCTGACATAAAGATACACCTACGTTATCGATCTTCACTTGCACAGTAGTTCCACGTTGATCTGTAGGAACTTCAGATCTGCGCGATGAACGGGAATTCTCGCACTGCTTCGCCAAACGCGTAGAACTCAGCTTCGAACTCGACAATGCTACGACCTTCTGTAGCTTGGACCTCCAGTGAATGAGAACCTTCGAGAAAGATCATATGGACGTGAATGATCTTCTGTTTCTTGTCTCCGGCCCAATCCAATCCGAGAATACTTCCATTTCCACGGTCCTTCGTTCTTCTCTGGTCTCATCAAAAGTCCACGGTTCCTTGAGTCCAACACGTACTTTACACAGCGTAGCATTTCCTTGTCGCTGCCGGCGTTGCGCATCCCAAGACCTAGCTAGCTCTCGTACCGCGTTCGAGATTTCTGGCCTTGAATGCTTGATAAGTACATGAGCATGCCTACTCCTGTTCGATATCTGCTCTGTTGTTCTTCAGCGATCCATTCGCTCTGTTCGTTTGTCTTTACTATTCCGAGCCAGGTGTTCCCGCAGTCTTTTACTTGGGTAGCTTCTGTACTCCTCTCCGAATGTGGTTTTAATCTTCTTGATCATGTGGGGTTGTCCCACCCATGCAGCATCCTTTCGGGGATTCATCCGAATCTCACAGCTCAGGTAGTCCGTGAGTTCGTACTCTATGGTCATGTTCAAGCCTCGATCTTTAATCCCTTGAAGCACTTCCTTGATATCGTCTTCTTCTCCAATGGTGAGATTGTCATCCACGTAACATAGAATCACGCATACTTCCCATTCTTGTTCCGCATAAGAGGCATGGATCACTAGACATGTAACGAATCCTAAGTCTTCCAGGACACTCGCAAACTTCAAGTAGTACTGTCGTGCGCTCTGCAAGCACCATAGATGGTCTTGTCCAGTATGACACTTCGTCTCTTGGTGTTCTAGTCCTTTTGGGCATCCATGTAGATGACTACGTCCATGTCTCCATGAGGAATGCTGTCTCAATATCGAAGATAATTGCCTTTTCTCTTCCCCTCTTCTTTAGTAGTAGAATCAAGATGATGCGGAAGGTGATGTCGTTAGCCACCGGACTGTAGATGTTGTCAAAATCAATTCCGGGTACTGACTGTAGCCGCAGGCCACCAATCTAGCTCTGAATCTTCCATTCCGCTTGATTTCCAGCACCCATTTGTGTTTGACACATCGTCTCCCTTCCTCCATTCTTGATCTCTTGATCTTGCGCCAGACCTTGAGTTTCTCCATCTTGTCTAGCTCGCCTTTGATCGCCTCCCTCCACTTCTCTCGCTGAAATGGTTCCGGGTGGTCCCAAGCTTCCTCGAACGTGCTTGGCTTGGTGAACAGATACTTGTACTTTGCTGGATCCTGAGTCCTTGGGTCATATGCGAGAGTCTCTTGATCAATGGATGCCTGTCCTAGTCCTCCCGTCAAATCTACTTCTGATGCCGTGTACCCAAACTCCATCCAGTCTTCATGTGCGTTCCCAAATCGTTGTCATTGGAATCGTCGAAAAGTTTGCCATTTCTGTCATTGGCGGTGATTCCGGTTGTTCGTGCTGAGCTGTTATCTTCTCTCCTCCTTCGGATGCATCGTCCGAAAGTGCTTGCATGAGGGAGCCCCCGTCATGAGGTTGTACCGCCGCTAGCTTGTCCAATGTCTGTAGGGCCTGGGGGTTGTAGCTCGCACTGAGTTTCTGTAGTTCCCGCGTAGCCTTGGATAGTAGTTTGGTCGCGACCGGGTCAGGCGGTTTGGCTGTTGGGATCGCGAGAACTTTATTAATCTTCTTGGTTTCTAGTGTGATTGCTCCTGCCTTGGCTGTCTTCGTGGGCTTAAGGAGCAGATCGTGGGAGTTCGATTCCCGATTTTCTGTAGGTAGGACGCTGAGGAGTTTATCCTTTCCAATATGGGTGAGTTCTTCTGCTGTGCTTGGTAGACCCATACCCTTCCATTCGGCATACGTCTTGTCCATCCAGATCACATCGCGTGTGAGCACTTGTGCTCCTGTTGCGATGTTGTACATCTTGTACGTGTCTGCACTGTGGTTCCGTGCTCTTCCAAGATACAGCATAGGTAATCCGCGATCTTGTAGTTTTCCCTTGATTTTTCCAACAAACTTGACGTATCCAACTTCTCCAAATCGTCGTAACTTGGATAACTGTGGAATGTCTTCTCCATAGAACATGCGGTAGCTTGGATTGTCATGAGATGCTGACTGCAGCACATTCTCAACGTCGGTGACGTGCATGACTGCATCACCGTAGAGAAACTTTCGTTGCTTCTCATCAAAACCGGCTTCGTGGAACATGGCCCGAATCCGATCGGTGCCTACTGCAATCCATCGTTCTACCTTTCCGTTCTGTTGAGGCGTATCTCGTCCAGTTAACTCAAACTTAACCCGTCTCAAACATGGTTCAATCGCGTTTTCACATTCCGTCATCAGCTTCTTGTTTTCTCCTGCATCGTCCATCCGGATGTAGTGTACTGGAGTGCCCCTGCGATCCATCACTCGAATGAAGTTCTTGACCTTAAGGATGACATCGCGTTTGGTCTGAATGATCCTACTCCATCGCATACTGGTAGCATCATCAATAATCGCCAGCCAATACTTTCCTCCCTTGGTAGACGTGCCTTCATCCACAGACGAGGTATCTATAAATATTCGTTCTCCAGGGATCTCTGATGTCGTTGAAGTCTCCTTGGCTACGGGCGCTTGCTTTGCTCGTCCTGCTCCACAGTGAGAACATGGTTCTAATGTCCCTGTGAGCTTCCACCCGTACTGATGTGCTGTCCTGCGTAGTGCGGCTTCACTCGCATGTCCCAGCTTCTTGTGGAGGTCGTTGATTTTCCAGTACTTCACCTTACTTGGCTGTTCCGACTTGGGCGTATCCGCAGTGTCACTTGGCGAAGTCTCTTCAGTCGCCTCCAGTGCCGTGTCATCCGTGCACGCGTAACTGCTCTCTTGTGGCATGTCCTGTGGAAAGAGATCAATGCCGCAAAGATATCCGTCTTTGGTTGAGTTAATTTTATCAAAGACTATTCGTTGGTTGCGTTGCGTCAAGACAATCTTGGTTCCTTTATTCGAGATGCTCCAACCCTTCTGGATTGCCTTGACCAAACTAAATAAACATACACCCAGGTTGGGGACATACTTGTAATCCGACAGTGTCAAGTCATACGTCGTGCCATCACGTTGCATTGCCGTTAACTTGATTGTGCTTTTCTTTACTGTTCGGATCTTGTCTCCACTTCCAACCTTGATTCCTTCATCAATTTCTTCCACATCAGTCATTCCATCGTCCACATTGCCCATATGAGTAGATGCACCACTGTCTGCAATCCATGTGCTCCGGCTGAAACCTTCTCCTGACCTCATGGTGAACACATACTCATCCGCTTCTTTCATTACCTTGTACATCTGCCAGCGCTTCTTCCTTGCCTGTCGAACCTTTCGACTGCCCCGCTTTAACTGAGCCACATTTTGCGGCGCTGTGGGAAGTATGGTAGCTGATGGATGATCACCTGCAGCCCTGTCTGCACGTTGGCGTCCACAAAGTGACTCACTTGTCCTTGCGTGACTAGGCCAGCATTTATTAGCATGTCGATGCTGGGGGAGTTCTCGATCACGATCGGTGCCAGTCCATCTCGTTGGTACTGAAAAGTTGATGCGTCCAATCCTCGTAGTAACGTGGAATCGTGTGATGCCATCGGTAGGGTGATCACTCCTGCAAAGTTCAAACGCACTTGCCAATAGTTTTGTCCGATCTTCTGCCATCCAGGTCCGTCCTTGGTATACTGACCCAACATAAACATCAAAAGCCCTTCCCACTTTCGTTCTCGGTGGCTCTCGCCTAAAATAGTTTGAGGGATGAGCTCGTCTCTGATGCATACCAGTCGCCTGGACTGTGTCGTCCACTCCCAGCAAGCATATGTCAGCAGCTCGCCCATTGGCTTTGCGACGTTGTTGTTCACGGTAAATGCGATCGGCTGCGACCCTTGGGATACCATAGTTCCGTAGGATAGAGTTCGCACTCGAAAATCTTCCTCTCCGAGTATCATACTCTGGGGTAATCCTTCCTTCTGCACGTGTTTGATTGCCTCGTTGCGCCACACTTCTGCTTGTCTGCTCACGAACAAGCTGACCAAAATCAAGCGCTTCCACCGCACAATAACTGGCCATGGGTTGTTCGAACCCGCTTCCTCCAATAATGGCATATCCACGTGCACCTTCCAATCCCGATTGTATTGAGCCTGTGCGACCATCTCCGTTGCATACTTCACTTCTATTTCGGGAATGCTGAATGCCGTGAACCCGAAGATTCCTGCGCTTCCTGTTCCTTCGCCGACGTTTTGTCCGCGCTTTATCTTGCACGTTAACATAGCTCCTGCGATAGTTGTCGTGTTTGGAGTCCAATCGCGAAAGAGCAACAAACTGCTGACCCAACCTAGCAGTTCCGCCTGGAGCTCCACGAGGTGGGGGTTGTTCCATATCTCGTGTGGTACCGCCTTCAGCATCCATTGGAACTGTTCGAAGTCCCCGACCAGTTGCTGCATCTCTGCGCTCGAGTGTGCTTCCCATACGTACTGGGGGATTATTTGGCATACTTCTTCCGCGATCTTCTTCCACTCTACACTTGTTATGTACGAATCGTCCAATTCCCATCCTTCGGTTGCTCGGTTCATGGGATGTCGGTTGCTCAATGGAATTGGATGTTTGCTGATCTTCATCATGTGTCGACTCCAACCTCGGTAGAGCTGCGCCTCTAGCACATTCCGGGCATCTTGGAATCTGTTCGACATTTCTTCTTCTTCGTCGTCTTCGCTCAAACAGCTGTAGTAGTTGTCGTCTTCGTAGATTGTGGGCGAATTTGACGTTCGTTGTTTCTCCTCCTTCTCAGAAACTTCTTTGTTGTAGCCGTTTTGCTTTAAATCGTGGAGTGTTTCGCTGTCGGAATCTGCCCTGCCCTCTGTTTCGCAGGACAGAGAGGTAACGTCTGGGTTCTTGTTGTATGTGACTGATTCTTCTTTAGTCAGTCGTTGTTGTTCTTCTTGGAGAGATTTAAGGGCGTCCATCGCCTCATAAGTCAATTGCTCCAAGCTTTCTCCATCTTCATCCACGTCATCTCCGCTTTCAAAATTGTCCCAGAATGCGTCCCATTCTTTGCCTTCATATTCCGGTGCTTCTTCTACTCCTCCTGTTTCATCGTCTGACAACTCTACTCCTCGGCATGGCATGCATATTTCATCGCTCATCGTCATGAATGCCATCCCTTCCGTTGTTTCTTGTGCTGTGTTCGCTCCTTCTGCGTTTCGTTGTTCCGCTTTGAGTTTTAGGCAATCTGATTTCCTCTGTCCAATCTTGCCACAGTGGAAGCACTTTCCGCTGAACTTCTTCTTTCCTCGAAATCCGCCACTGCTCCCATTGTTACTGTTGAATTTACCGTTTGTCTTTCCTTGGTACCTTTGTCCGTAGCTTCTTCTGTTCGAGCCTTTCTTGTCTGGGCAGTCTTGTTGCTTGTGTCCGATCTTCCCACAGTTCCTGCATCTGCCCTTGAACTGTTTTCCTCCAATCATGAAAGCTGTTTCGCCACTGTGGTCTGTCGACTTATTCCGTGCCTTAATCTCATCGTAGATTTCGCATAACTCATTCACCACACTCTTTACCGTTATTCCATGTCCTGTTGTCTTGATCCTTCTCAGAACATTCTACTTCACTTCATGATACACTCCGAGTTCTCCTTCCTTCTTCGGCATCTTCTCGAGAAGGTCATTGATGTACTCTTCGTCCGATATCTTGAACCCGTCCTTCGCTAGCTTCTTGCGTTTCACGTCGAGTCCAATCTCGAACTTCTTTGGGTTCTCCTTGATGTCCATCTTTATCTCGTAGTATTCCGTTCGTCGAGCTGCCACCTCACCACTGTCTTCAGCGTCGTAGAGGTCCAGCATGGACTCCCACATGCCCTTGAATTTCCCAGCAGCATGGTCAGTCGTTTGGTGTGAGGCCAGTAGGTCGAAGGCGACTTGCCCTTCGATGGTCTCCACATTGATCGAGTCCAGCAGTATTCCAGCAGCCTTGCTGTTCTTCTTCTGCAAACTCTCGACCTTTTCCACTTCGTCATCCGACAACTTGCCTGCACCTGTAGGGTTTTCCCAGTTGTCCGGCTTGATCTCTGTAGAGTCCTTCATCAGTTCTACGTACCCATACTTTGATAAATGGGCCATCATCTTGACCTTGTAGAACCTGAACTTCTCATCTTTCCCATCGAAGATGGGATACTTGCTCGACGATGATACCTCTACCTCCGTAGACATCTTGACTTACTTCTCTAACACTTCTCTTTTCTGTTTGACAACCTGGATCCAAGCTCACTCTTTCCTGATAGCTATCGTTTTAAAACGTGTTGAAAAGGTGTGAACTTGAACGCACAATTTCTCTAATTTAATCAATATCCTTCCAGCTCTACTGTCTAGTAGACTGGCTATTCGTTTCGTTTTCTCTTTCTCTCTCGTTCAGATTGTGAGCTCTACAACTGAGCTCCGATATGCATACATATACCAGGATCTTTCGATCCTCTGTTTCTCGCAGTTTCATTTGCAGATAGATCTCGTCGATCTATCTTCCTGAAGTGCATGGTTGGCCCTGGAGGGCTTTCCCACTTTACTAAACCTATGGACCTTCATCCGTCCATTCATTTGCTCCGTCCCATCGCTCCTTGCATTCGTCTCTTCGACCTAACTTCCTAACCTTTGTAGTTGCATCATCTAGACGACCATTGTCCTCGTTCCTCGTACAACTGGCCATCTGATGATGATCGGATAACCATCTGATTTGAGTCACACATCCCCAATCACGAACCGTGACTGCGGATCCCGAGTCGTCTGTCCGTCATACGAAAATACCTTTCTAACAGAAGCTGAAACAAGCACAAAGGTAGATTTGGTCAAACCAGATGCGGCATTGGCGCAGCAGGAACAAATTCGCAAGTTTGTGGCCGGAACTATGTGTGTGTTAACGGTTCTTGCCGGTTCCGTAAAGCTTGCCTAACATGGGATCCCAATCCCAGGCAGAGGCTCTACGAGAACCTGGACACAGCATTACAGCATTACTACGAAACGATTAAGACTACCTACATCTCACTACAATCAGCGCTGTGGCTGAAGGTGGTCCCACAGCCAGCTGGTGTGGGGTACCTGGCATCCTTGAACTTGCCCACACAGGTCAAAGATTGGGCGGGTGGCGACATGGTCAGCCAACCTGTTGTTCCGCCTCTCGAGATAAGCAAGTCAAGATGGGATGCAGGCCAGCTGTGCTCAGAGCCTCATCAACTGGTGGGTAATGCCAAACGCTTCTAATGAGCATTGGCATTTTGCCAGTAATCCGGCGAGCCACATTGTGATGAAAACCTTCCAATATGCGAAGCATGGTGGAAGTGAGGGTCCATGTCTCGCACCCATAAAACAACACCGTCTGGACCACGGCCTTGTAAAACGTGCCAGAAACCTTGACCTTCACACCCTCCCAAGCTAGCACCCGAGAGATGTGAGCCCATCGCTGGCGGGCCTTCTTCAAATTCTTGTACACTGCTGGGAGGTCGCTGTCAGAAGCAGCAAGTTCCTGACCAAGATATCTGAATTGGGTCACCGAAACGAGAGGAACACCGCCGACCGTGAAAACGACTTCACGGGCACGGCGTTCAGTTCAGTCTCTGCCAGAAGCTGTCGTCGTTTCAACTCAGATCCTTCTCTGCACAGGGCTGATGTGAGGTGTCTGGAGTTGAGAGACGAATAAGGAACAAACATGTCACAGCCACCGCTGACAACGTGGGAGATCCTCGGGGCCCTCCTCGGCCGGAACTGTGGCGGATGCAGCGCCCATCTTGCCCATTTCGGCCGTCCTCAAGTACAACGTGGACATTCTTTGTGGTCCGTCGCATCCCTCCACCTCTTCGTGCTTTCACAAGAGTCCCCCGTCTGATTGTCATTCGGTCCTTTGATGTCAATCGTCCTGGACAAGCAAAATGTCTCCAACCTACAAGGAGGTATTGCGGGAGGATCCGTCTTGCAAGGTGTTCTCAAAATGGGTGGTGAAATTGAAGTCAGACCTGGCATTGTCACAAAGAAGGAAAAGGAAGGAGCCGGTGAAACCACCATGTTTTGCTCTCCCGTCTACACTCGAATCTCGTCTCTGTATGCCGAACGGAATGATCCACAAGTTGCCGTTCCTGGAGGTATGATTGGTGTTGGAACACGGATTGATCCCACCACCTTGACTCGTGCCGATCGTGGGCAAGCTCCCGCATGTGTTTGCAGAAATTGAGATTTCCTATTACCTGTTGCGTCGTTACTGGGAGTGTGTCAAGACCAGCCAGTGATGGTGGCAAGCAAGCCAAGCAAGGTTCAAAAGTTAGTTGACCAAGAATGAAATTCTCATGGTAAGCATTGGTTCTACTGTACTGCCACGGGTGGAAGAGTTTTGGCAGTCAAGGGTGATTTGGCCAAGGTTGCTCTGACCCAACCTGTTTGCACCGAAGAAGGCGAAAGATTGCCCTGAGCCGGCGTGTCGCTTGATTGGTTGGGGACAGATCCGAAAGGGAAGCAAAACTGAGGTGGAAGAAGTCTAGCTAGATTTCTGCTACAACACACTTTTGTCAACAACTTGCATAGTTTTAGCACAGTTCTTGATCCAGAACGCCCTGCAATCAAATCCAAGCTAGCTATTTTAGAGGCAGTTACCTTTGTCGCTATGCCCTTGGTCCGTCTTAGTTAAGACGAGGAAGAGACTCCACTCAGCCCTCCATGATTGGTTCTGTACGAGCTGCTCCCTCCGTTCATCAATTCCCAAACTCCAACAGATTTTCTCTATCATCGTGACGACGGCTTCACGACACGATATCGGAACATGTAGGGCTACCGGCAGCTACGGTAGAGGTGGTCAGTACCGGCATTGGGTCATTTGACTAAGTCTTCCCCTTCGCTGATTCCGAGGAGACCTTGGTCTTTTGGATGATAAAAGCGTAAAACAAATGGTTAAAGTAAGTATTTTACATCCAAATAGGCAACAAACGGTCAAATTGCATAAAAATGCACCTCAGCTTCCGTATCTTCATCCCTAAGAGGTGCAAAAGGACTTACGTCGCTGACGGTTGAGATTGAGGTGAAGCACCTTCAAGATGGCATAAAAAGAAACTTTTGGCAACCATTGCCATACACCAACAACACAGAAAACACCAAGACACAACCACAGCTCCCCTCGGAAAGAAAACAGACAGTTGATAGGAGTGGAGTCATTGCATTCTGTTCTGATCCACAACACACACTCTCTTATCAGTCAGTCCGTCTCTCTCTGAGCTTGCTACAGCACTACAACCTTCCTCTCCTTCTACTTCTATTTATTTGATCAAGATCAATACAAAATGGGCGAATGCGAGACGAACGAGGCGACATCCAATTCGGCCATTGGAATTGGACTGGTACTACTGGCATGCCTGTGCTATGCCTGTGGGAATTGCTTACAACGCTACTCGCTATTACGTAAAAAGGGCGAGAAAGTGTTTTGGGTGTTGAATCGTCACGTGGGTTGGTTTGTGGGCGCCATTGTCTACTTTTCGGCGAATGGCATTTACTCGATTGCCCTTTCGTTTGCGCCGGTCAGTGTCTTGGCGGCCGTGTTTAGTCTCACGATTGTGGCCAATGCGACATGCGCGTGGTTGGTCCTCGGAGATCAAGTTCCCAAATTGGCACTGCCGGGATATGCCAGTGTTCTTGCCGGCAGTGTGGTGTTTAGTATGACAGTCCAAGCCGAAGTCTGTCATTTCAGTGGCGAAGATCTCAAACAAGTCATGACCAGTCCGGCCGCCATTGTCTATTGGGTCATCATGGCCTTTATTGTGTTTGGAGGAATCATGTTTGCCTATCCCTTTGAGAAAATGTATCCCATCATGACGGATGACGACGATGATGATATTGATGTACCACAGGAAAGCAAAGATGACGCAGTCATTGATGACAAAGACCAACCCAACGGAGGAGACAGCAGCAACAACAATCAAAAGGAACTGGCACACAAAGCCGTTACGGGGCTCACGGATCAGGATTCCAGTGCTCTACAGGACGAAGAAAACAGCCCTTCAGGTATGCAATGGAGTACACTCTACCACGGAGACATGTCGTTGAAGGAACAAAACAATACTACTACTGCTCACCACAATAATACTAATTCATCATCCAAAACCACAGAAAACAACGAAGACACGCAGCAACAACAACAGCAACCATTGGAAACGGATTACACGGAAATGGCACAACTCGAACAAGACGCAACACAACCGATGCAGCCCAGTTCTCTCTCACTACTCCTCGCAGGATTCATTTATCCTTCCTCTTTGGGTGCCACCGAAGCTGTTGGGGCATTGATCTTGAAGGGTGTCAATTCGCTTTTTACTACCATGGCCACGGACGAAGATACCCCAGAAGATGAAATTGATTATCACATTGACTTGTGGATTGGATTTCTACTTGTCGGTGTTTTTATTTTTGCCGGTATTGTCATTTGGTTGCGACTCACGTACAGTCGATTCCAAATTACGGCTGCCTTTCCCGTCGAATTTGGAATGCTCACATTTGCATCCGTCGTGGGAGGATTTGCCGTCTTTGAAGATCATCAATACGTACAAGGTGCCGGTGCGTGGGCCGGTGTCATTTGTGCTTCTCTACTCATTCTAGGAGGCATTGCAGAAGTGGGATATGCCAGTTGGTTTGCCCAAAAAGCACGACAGGAAGAAGAAGCGCAAGCCGAAAAAGCAGAAGCAGCCGCCACCAAACAATCACAAGACGCGCAACCCGAAAAAGCCAAGGATATCGATGGGTAATTGTTTTATTACTGTATTTGCATTGCATTGCAATCAATCATGCAATGCATTTCTTGCCAATTTGGTTGGAAGAACGGGTTTGAAAAATCATTTAGGAACAACAACAACAACACGCGCACAACAATCACAACAATCACAACAACAACATGGGCACGCAAAACACACACACACACACACACACACACACACACACACACAATCCACAACAGAAATTCAAAACAACACACACAGATCAATCAATCAATCAATCAGTACACTGTAGTTTTCATATTATCATATCATATCATATCCGTATTAATCAATCAATCACAACATCGGAACGCCAAACATTTCCATACTGTACGCAGTCAATCAAATCAATCCGCAACTCATCATTAACTTCCAAATCACAGGCACAGTCCAGTCCGTGCTGTCGTTCCTCTAGCTAGAGGTCGACGACCTTTTTCGTCTCTTGGCATCGGGAGCCCATGATCGGCGAGAGCCACGATACAGTACCGTACGGTACGAGCCAGCGAACAGCACGCTCGCGCACAAGCATTGTTCATCGTGATTGCCCCATCCCATCTAGACTAGACTAGACTAGACTAGACTAGACTAGACTAGACTAGACTAGACTAGATAGCCAAGTGCAAAAGCTGCGGTCAACCTGCTTCCGTGTTTCGTAACTCACAAGCACGCTGGGGCGAACCATCCATTCATTGACTATACCGGTACTGTACCCGTAGCGCATGCCTCATTCGTTTCGTCTATTGGTCCAGACACACAAACCCGTCTTTCGAGTCGAGTCAGTCATGCACGCGGGAGCAAACGGTGTGTCCTTTGCTGGAAAGGCGATAGGCACATTATTTCCAAAAACGGAGAATCTCATCATCAAAAGTCTACCGTACAAGTTTAGTTTTCCAGTCTTTACGCTACGATCGAGTTCTTGATTCGAAAGAGAGGTTCGTTCGATCCAGGGGAGCGAGATGTGGTCGTATCAGAGTTAAAAGTTGACATGGTCGTGGCGCAAGTCCATGCTCTCTGCTCTCCTCACTGCATGGTGGAATGAATGATACCCAAATACAAAACTGCACTGTTACTCCTGCTGCACCCTTTTCGAATTTGCTTGGATTCAGCACAGAATCAATAAGCGCCAGAAGACGAGAGGGGAATATCTTCTGCTCTATCGTCTGCAGTGGTCGTGCTCTCTCTGGGTTCCTTTCAAGAAGAGAAAAATCCGCGAAAAGAAAAGAATTAGGGTATGACCCTCAATCCTGCGTTCCTCTATTTCCCTCATCCTTTTCCCGGAACATTATCCCCCTTCCAGCATAATTCTTTCTGTTCGTTCCAGCTCATTTGCGACGGATTTAGCACGTATTCTGGGTTAAGCTAGCATACTCCAGCTCAAAGTAAAATTCGTGCCGAAAGTTCTGCAAGCAAGACTCTGAATATTCTATATAGGCCCGCGAAAAAAGGTGGCCTGCTCGTTGTGCCGGCTTATTTCAAATCCTCGTATCTCCTCCACTTTTTGAATGTCATCGTGGAGTGAAATCGAAATAGTAACCACCATGACGGAGCAACCAAAGCACTACGGACCACACCAGCACGGCTTTATCAAGGAAGTAAGAGGTGACATTGACAGGGAGGGAAAGTCCTATTTCAAATCATGCAACTGGAAGGAAATCTCACCTACTGGAGGAAGGTATTGCTCCACCATTTTGGACGCGAGTAACAACAAGAAAATCACTCGCGAAAGTTTCTATATTCGCCCTACCGCAGCATGGATTCCTCATCTGTTGTTCAAGAATCATGTGCCGCATTGTCCTCACTGCAAGAAGAATGATCAAGTGAGTGTCTGCAATTCAAAAACTAGATGGATAAGGACGCCGAAAGTTGTTTTTGGAGTTTCGCGATACAAGTACTTGGACACGAAGCTCTACCCCTGCAACCGATGCAAGCGAATGTTTACAGGTTTCAACAAGCAATCTATGCAATTGGATGCCAACCTATACAATGCTTACTTCAACTTTTACCTTGGTCCACAATTTGCCTGTGATGAGGAGGTCTACAGGCAAGTGATCGAGGACTCAATGACACAGTCCACGGCGGAGATAGCTCGGAAGCTGAAGAAGATGGCATACGCTGTGTACTACGACGATTTCATGCTCTACCTGGCGGCTGTTGGACTAGACAAGATCAGGCCGCGGAAGAAATCAAGAACTATTGACTCCATGCTAGAGAAACGTACCAACCAATATGACCCCCATTTGAGCTACCTACAGCGGCGGAAGCAAGATAAGGAGCGACTTGTTACTAATCTTAAGCTATCTCGTTCCAGCGCCAGATCAAGAGCACAGGGCGACATTGAATTTTCAAGATTGCTTGGACCCAAAGGCGACAGGAATGTGTATGGGATGAAGAATATTCTGCCTGGTTTGGGTCCAGTGAAGTTGAAGCGTTTAATATCGAATGGACTGAACACAATGCATGAACTGATGCGAGTTGATCCGGAGCATGACACTGATGCGACAATACCATTGTGCATTGATTAATCTAGGGATCTAAGAGATGTAAAGTTTGTATTTCCAAATAAGTGAGCAGTTATTGATTATTTTCTAGAATAAGCCTGCTAATTGTAAAGCTGTAAAGCTGAATTGTAAGCTGTATCCCGTCGCACTCCCTTACAGCTGAAATGAAGCTGGAGCAGAAACGATAGGAGAGAGTCCCCAGCAAAGTGCTGAGGTAAATTACCATCCCATGAGGAGCTTCCGAATGACAGCAAACTGTGGAGCCGGAAGACCCTAGTGAAAATGTCGGCCCGTTTGTCCAGAGTCGGAATATACTTAGCCACGATGCCCTTCGACTCCCCGATATTGAACTGAAGAAGTGGTACTTCAATGCCAAATACTTTTTGCGCGCAGACATTTTGGAACATTCACAAGAGACAAGCAACCTTGGGGTTGTCTTCGAACACTGTAGAGCGCACTAGGACTGTCAGTAATACCGGCATATTCAGTTTGCTACCAATTTCTTGAGCAAAGCTCGATAGGAAGAGCTCCCTCATTGACATGTGAAGGAACATACTCAGCAGCAGTGGAGCTCAAAGTAATATCAGTCTGTAGCTTGCTGGACCAGATAATGGGGCACCAAACAGAGTCAGGACAAATCCAGTGCGAGACTTGACGGACACAGGATCCTGTTCATCCTCATATCCATATAATCCGGCGAAGTCAGCATCGACCCAAAAGTCAAGTCCCTGATCAAGTTAGGGCTAAAACAAATGCCTTTGTCCTTGTGCCAATCAAGATACACGAATGATAGTTTGATTGCTTGAGCATGGGAATTGCCTGGGATTGTGACTGAATCGTGCACCTGGTGCACACTAAATGTGATGTCTGGGCGGTGTTCGACGCAATATAAAGAAGCATCCCAACTGCAGCTGGATAAGCTCCACTCTTCTTCAAATGGGGCCCCCAGTTTGTCAGCTCCGAGAGGATCGGTGGCGGCAGGAGAAAGCTTCTTGCTAGCGTCAGACATACCAGTATATTCGATGACTTTATTGATGAGCCCTTTTTGAGTAAGCTCAACATTGTCTCCCTGTCTTTCAAAATTAATGCCGAGGAATCCAAAGATGTCACCTTTTTCTTCCATGGTAGGTCATATCCAATTTCTGGAGCTGCCCAACATAGGACTCAATCAGATCATTGTCTGGACTGAGCCAGATTTGGTCATCACAATAATTAATACCATGAGTTGATGCTCCTTATGAATAAACAAACATGGGTCTGCTGCCGAGGTTTCGAAACCAAGTGGATCATCCCGCGACATAGATGCTCATAAAATAATTTAGGTGAATCGGTCTGCCCATAGATAGACTTGTCAAGTTTCAAAAAACAGTCCTGTCCTTCATATCCTTTGCG